TTCTATAGTTTAAACACTTAGCAGAATCAAAAACATCACTATTCCATACTTGTAAAAACTGATCACGTAATCGTGATTTTATTACATATTTAAAATTATTAAAATTTGCAACATTCTGAGTTATCCAAAAATCAGAACAACCAAGATTATTCAAAGTAGATTTTACTTTCTCGATCCACTGACAATGTAAAATACCCTTTTCATGAAGATAATACATAGTGCGGTACAAAGAAGCACATATTTTATCATTTTTACCATTAACTAATTTACTCCAAAAATTTAACATTCTGCAAGTAATATCATTTTCAATAGGAAATGCACCTAGTTCTCCCAAGACCATAACCGAAGGAGTTGACATCTTAAGTTTAAGTATATATTTATAAAATTTCAATTGAAACTGAGAAATAATAGAATTATTTTCAGATCCCCACACCTCCGACCCATACAATAATATTGGCTTAACCATACTATCAAAAAACTGTAACTGAATATCAATTGGCAAACACAATTTCTTAATTTTAGTTAAAATACTAAACATAGCCTTCCTCGCTTGATCTGTCAAGTGCTTTTTTGTTTTATTAAATTTACCATTAAAGTTGAATATCACACCTAAATAACTAAAATCCCAAAGTCGGAGACCGTCAATTATTAGAGGCCCGTAATCTGCGAGATGTTCCGCAACAACAACAACATATAAAAGTGAATTAAATAAATTAATAATAATATAATAGCTGTACAAGTAAAATGGTTTCCTGCGGGGAACATTTTTGATGATATAAAGATATTTCATTTAACTATCTTCAACATTGTTTGGGTGGGTGGATTAATAAACGTTTGTATCAGGAATATAGTTGACAATAATCGATCAATATAGAAGAAGGTCTTTGGAAACTGGTGACCGTTAATGACCGGAGAAGGTCGAACATAAAACAATTATTTCTTTTTAAGAAAATGACTAAATAGGCCTACCATTTTATGAATAGTTCCGAGCAAAAAAAAAAAGCAAACACACAAGTTTTCGCAGAAAACATCTCTATTTATTATGGCAGATGCCACTACGAATATTTTAATTTTGTAGATTTTCAGTATAAACAATTTATCGTTTGTAACATTTTGAGATACATATTAAAGAAACATTGATAATTTTCAAACACATCATTCAAGTTTTTCCACCTTAAGCGGTAAAATGATTATAGAAAATTAGAAATATCACGTAATAGTTTTTTGTTCTTAATTAGGTGTAATTCTGACTTATTGCTCCGCGCCTGTGTTTACTATTTTTTTTTGTCCATGGACCCGGATTTGAGCAATAAATCCTTTCGATTTACAGCTAAAAGTAAATCCGCATTCAAAAACTCCTTTCGATTTCTATATTGGTTTCCCCGTCGGTGATTCGCAGCATGTCATATTTATGAATGAGAACCGGAAAGCAGTTCTGCTGTTACATAAATTCGAAAGCTATAAATAGCTATAAATCTTTTGATTTTTGACATTTAGGTTATAAATGTGTTATTTCCCTTTTTTAGTAGTACATGAAATTATAATTTGTTACATTTTGAAATACATTTACACACAGCATATCAAGTATGATATTAGTGATTGAATTTGCCAATACAAAGAAGATTTCAGGCAAAAGATTATTACAATTTTGCTTTTGATAATTATTTTTAATTTATATTTATGAAATTAAATGTTTAATCATAACATGTTGATATATTGGTTGTTTTGAAATAATTAAATTTTAGTATATAATGTTAAATTTCATTCGCGTCAATGGTACAGCATACCACTTTGTGATACAGGTATGACTGGTGACATGTTTGGGGGTCTGTAAGCTGCATTTTGTAGCCTTTTGAGCGGATGGACCCTCATTAAGGTGATTCCGCTTTGTCAGCCAAGTTTGATTTCGCAAAGTCTGTGCAAAGTGAAAGCAGGCCAAAATTCATATAACAACAAAGCTCACATTGTTATATGATGAGCCATTTGCAAGTACACATTCAATTCTATGTTTTAACAAAAATAAAAATGATAACAATAAGAAATTTACCTTGAATGGGCTACATTCTGAAGACCAAAAACATTCTGTTGCAAATCTTTATGCACATTTTATGAATGGCAAAATCCAGTTTAAAGTCTATTTTAGTGCAAACATATGCTATTTTTTGCAGATAATACAAAAAAACTTTAAAAAACATAAATGTTAGGAAAGTAGTTTATCTGACCTTGAAAAAACATGGCCTCCATGACATGTGTAAAAAAGTAGTACCATGAAAATAAACATCATTTACCTATTTCTTGTGTATATGACAAACAGACACACTTCACTGTTACAAATAAAAAGGTTAGATTTTAAAGTTTGATTGTGTTTTCATTTTAATTGTAGTTCATAAGGCTATAAATGATGATTGTTTTCTTGCACTACTTTTTTTTACAAAAAATCATGGAGGCCATGTGCTTAGAAGGACACGAGATACTGATTTATTTGGAGTTAAGTTTTTGATAGATTTTTGTATTTGCTGCAAAAAATAGCTTTTGTTGGCACTAAAACAGACTTTTAAAAGGATTTTGCCAATCATGAAATGTGCATAAAGCTTTGCAACAGAATGTTTTAGGTCTTCAAAAATGTAGCACATTCAAGGTAAATATTCTTATTGTTATCATTTTTATTTTTGTTTATAATTGTCCTTAAAATATAAACCTGGAAGTGTATTTTCAAATGGTTCATCATTTTACAATAAGAGCTTTGTTGTTATATGAATTTTGGCCTACTTTCATTTTGGACAGACTTTAGTTAAAACAAACATGGCTGACAAAGCGGAATCACCTTAAGCATAGGCTATAGATAGATATCATGACAACAACAGAAACTTTGATCTGCAGTTTGAACATGAAGTGTAATGTTTTTTATGAATGGTTTTAAAGCAATTCAACAAAAAAATATATATTGATCTCCCTAAAAATTAATTAACAATAGTTTTTTATATATAACCAATGTCAAATAGCTTTCATGTCTTTGTCTCGCACGAATATGATATTAGTGAATTTCCTCATACCTACTAACAGTCTTCTATTATATTGATAAATACTGTATCACCATATAACGCGTGTATAACAAACAAAAAAATCCTGAATTTGGTCTTTTGGAAATTCATCCCATTTTTTCATTCCAGAGTGTATTGAACTGTATTCTACTTTCAGTATTGAAAGAAACCATTTTTTTTTTAAATTGACATGAAAAATATGCATGTAATAAAACTATATTATAATATTAGTCCTTTTTGTTACTATAGGTATATTTGTTACAATTATAACAGACTTTGATATTTCTATCATCTATCTTCTGTTACTGAAACAGAACACAGTACAGTCATGTCACATAACATTTACAAGTCTTGTAAGTCTTGTTTGTATTCAATGGAATTACTTTCCTTACCAGGTAGGCATCAGTGAAAGCATTTTTTATATTAAATATTTTTCCCCTCTTTTTTTTTTAATTTTGGACAGTGCATAAGATAAGTATAATTATGCAAAAAATGGTTTACAAAACATTCGGAAAAAAATCTACAATAGTACTTAATAATCTGAATATAACATGACCTGTGCGTAGGAATAATTTGGTAAGGTATCTGTAATGAGTACATTTTTTGCGCGGAGCTTCTCAATTGCTGCATTGCAGCAACATTTGTACTTGTTCCCTAGAGGATTATCCGTAACGTACCGGCAAACGGTATTTAGCCAGGTTTTCGAAAAGGTCAATTAACCAATTATGTACGGTTTACAGATCACATGCTCCTCCAGTACCGAAAACAGGTCACGTGCTCCTCCATGCCTCAAAAGATAAAAGCGTACCAATACCCTGCGGTCTCCAGACCGCAGGGAATAATGGCAGAAGAAGGTATACCACCTGATGTCAAAAATTTTAGTCTTGATATCTATCAAAGCAGCCGTCCATATTTTCAACGCGTTCATAAGCATCTTCTTAAACACAAAGATGTTTTATTCGAGGCTTTAGACCAATTGAACTCTGACTGGGCATCTTTTTGTTTTCTCAAAATTGTAAATTGCAACGCTGATGAAGCATGCAATTTTTCTCAAGCCTATTGCAAGACTGTGAGGAATATTCAGGAACATGATGTTGACAAGCGTGGTGTTGTATGGATACCAGATTTATTCAATATAACTTTAGTACAAATGTTTCTTAACATAACTGGATCCATCGAGGAACATATTATTGATACACAGTTGACAGCTTTGAAAAAACTTGCTACAATTTTGGACACCATTTCAGGTGAAAATGTGTATGTGGTGGCGCGATAGCTCAGTTGGTTAGACCACTGCATGATTATCACTCTGAGGTCCCGGATTCGATCATGGGTTATAACCTTGGGATTTTTCAGAGACACTTTCAGTGTTTCCCACCTACCTAGAGTTGTACTGGTAAGAAATCTAGGTAATCCTCGCATTTATCAGTGCTATACACTGGGCATGTAAAAGAACCAAGGGGTCTATTCAATAAGAGCTAGTGATTGATTCCCTTGTATCTCATAGCTGTCTCTTAAAAATGTATACAATGTATACCTGCTTAGAGTGATCGTAAACGATTTTAAAGCAGTATGATGTAGAACTTGAAAATTTGAAATATTTCATAAACAGTATAGATCTGCTTGTCAAAGCAAATTCAGTCATAGCAGTTTGAAAGTAGGAGGAAAAAAATCTGTTAAAGCGGTAAAACTGTTTACTGGTTTCGTAGCAGTTTTCAGGGCCCTTTATCATTTTCATCCAGGATAATCTTATTTTTACCAACAGGGCAGCTCAGTTGGTCATTAAATCAGAGAAACATTTGTTTTCTTAGTATATAATGCAACACAGCAGTTTAAATAGTACAGTGATTTATATGTCTTGAGGAGAACTTGCAACATTTAAAAATAAGAAAAAAAACCTGGGGAATTTTAGTTTGAATGCCCATGGGAAGTAACTGAAACTGCATTTCAAGTAAATCGATAATCAATGGTAGGATACTACGTCATCGCGCACCTGCTGAATGCTCCCACTTGGACCATTTTTTCGTCGATTCGAAGGTAAAATACAATTTTATTATAAGAAAACGTAAGAGTATTAAAAAATCATGTAGCGCACCAAAGAATGGCTATAGTACTTGAGATAATTGTAAAAATAGTTTATAGATTTATTGCCTGGTTTAAGCCTGAAAACGGGATAAGTGTTTTTCTCTGAATGCTCCCACTCGGACTTTTCCCGAAATATATATGAAATAAGGTTGAAAACCTTCTTGAAAATAATTTTTAACGTACTAGAATATAAACCGAGTCATGTTTACACATTTTTCTATATTAGTTTCAAATATTTCTATTCCAAAGTCAGTTTTTTAAAGTTTTTTTTATAAAAATGGAAAATGCTCCCACTTGGACTCGATTTCAGAGATGCTCCCACTCGGACCCAAATACATACATTTTGAAAGCACATTGATGTGCCAAGCTTTTATGGATTATTCTTACAATTTTTAAACCATTTTGTTTTGTCAATATTTACTGTGTTTGGCGACATTAACTTTTACCTTCTTTTTACACAGATCACTTCTTACGTCGTTGGGCAGGACCCGGTGCCATGGCAAAGTTTCAACTGACAGGATCACTTTACAAAAAGGTGCACTTGGCTTGTGTTGGATTCGAAGGGATGATTCAAAATTATTGCCAACAACAAAGATAGGACTATAAGACTTTAAATGGACAGTTTGGATCTCAAGAATAAAGTTTTTTTGAGATGTTAAAACAATGGTGGTGTTTTATAAAGAAGTCATTATACATGGTTTAGTACCATGCTGGATTAAGATTCTGTTGGACTCGTACACATATTAGAGGCCTGCATTTATTCAATAATTGCTGATCTTGTTAATAATTTAAAACCCAATGAATTGCGTGTTTGTTAAACTTGTGATTTAGATTTTATAGCATTATAATAGTACGTTTATGAACATAAAGAAGTCAATATCTATCGGTTGATTTGAATAGTTTATTAAAGAACAACATGTGAATCATTTTTGTCATGAACTGGTTAAAAAGTCAATGTACTGCCATACCATGGCATATAAAGCATGCATCACAGTTATTGACAACTTTGACATTTTTAAATATGAAAGTTATCATATGTACGTATTTTTACCTAAAATAACATAATTAAATAGATAAGAAAACAAAGATCACAGTTATTTCTTTATCACAGTCTTTACCATATCTTTGTAATTACAATGGAAATTATATATATATGTATATAAATATGCTACTAAAACAATTTTCAAACATTAAGGAATATGTGAAATACGTACTGCAAATGCTTGTCCACATTATATGTAATCATTAAAATATACATGTATGCATTCATTTCTTATTTAAGAATTCAACTTACACTTAAAAGAAAATATATTTCTAATTACCTCCCTTTATGAAATATAAGTTCGGTATCATCTTTACAAATAATGCTTTTTGGAACATACAATATTGATAAATCTTCATTTGAGCATTATATTTATAGTATAAAACCAAAATTGATTTCAGGATATTTAAATGACGTTAAAATAATAACAATCACACAATGGGGAATCACAGAGAGGAAAAGGAGGAAATACATTTCATAGGGGAAGTAACCCTTACATGTAAAAATCCAAGTAATGCTACTCGTAAAAATTAATGAAAAGTTATAGCCTAGAAATAATAAATCATGACAAAAATAACACTCCTATGAAAAAAAACAAAAACAACAACAACAAAGAAGCATTAAGTGAACACTTATGTGCCTTATGCTCTGCTTTTCACTTCTATCTGCACTGTCCCAGTGTTGTTTTCTTAAATTAAAAACAGCATACGGAAGTTTTGTTCAATATAAAGTTTCAAGTCTATATCTCAAATACCTTTGGAGGTATGGTCCTTGCAAACTAATCATAGTGAATACAAAGGGCAATAACTCTAAAACTGGAGAGTTGTTATTCTTGTTTGTAGTACATCTATCCTCCAGTGAAGTCTCAGATGAATTGATCCTTTATCACACATTGTCAAATGATTAACGCAAAAACTGAACGAAAGACAATTACTTCAAAGAGCTACAATTCTTGTGTTTTCTAGAGTATTCCTCCTCACTGAGATATATCCACAGTTGGTATCTAAAATATTTGCTCCAGCTATGCCGTGCCAAGATGTCCTACCATGTGCTTTCTTACGTCGCAATGTGGTTTATACCTTTTCCCATACTGGTCACAAACGCAAATACTTTCTGCAAAACAAAACGTTAATATATTTTTAAAATGTATAATCAATTTGTTTCTTATTTCAACGACTCTATTTAACGAGGAATTGTTTCAACACAACCTTTTTTCCTTATTCTTAGGCCGATAACTGATCCTCTAAGAAAACATATTTACGAGATTGTAATGATACAATGTGTCACAATTTAGTGATCTAAATATTAGTATAGTATTTTCATTGAATTCTAACTGATAATATGAATATATGAACTTGAATATAAAATTAGTTTGAAAAAATTATAAATTCTTAACACAGCAATGTGTTTTCAAAATTTGTATATATTTAGGTCCGAGTGGGAGCATCTCTGAAGATGAGTCCGAGTGGGAGCATTTTCCATTTTTATAAAAAGAATTAAGAAAAACTGATTTCTGAATAGAAATATTTGACACTAATCTAGAAAAATAGATAAACATGACTCGGTTTATGTTCCGGTACGTTAAAAATAATTTTCAAGAAGGTTTTCAACCTTATTTCATATATGTTTCGGGAAAAGTCCGAGTGGGAGCATTCAGAGAAAAACACTTATCCCGTTTTCAGGCTTAAACCAGACAATAAATCTATAAACTATTTTTACAATTATCTCAAGTACTATAGCCATTCTTTGGTGCGCTACATGATTTTTTAATACTCTTACGTTTTCTATTAATAAAATTGTATTTTACCTTCGAATCGACGAAAAAATGGTCCAAGTGGGAGCATTCAGCAGGTGCGCGATGACGTAGTATCCTACCATTGGATAATACTTTGCAGCAATATATTTGCAGTCAACACGGAAAAGGTTTAGGGTTGGATATCGATACCTGGTACTTAGACCGTGCCGAAAACCGTTTCAATATTTACCGGTCAATACCGTTTCAAAACGTACCGTATTTTTAACGGTATAAGAAAGTAAACAGTCCTACGCATAAACCCTTCCAGCCTGCTGAATCTCAGTAAGGGCTTATCAGCTAGTAAATCACTATTAACTGTATGTCTCCAATTAACCACTGAGTTGAGAGCTTTGTCATTATTAATTGCCCCTCTGTATTTTTATCTAATGGCCCCAACTTTGAAGGATCAAATTTCTGCAGAAGATACACTCACTAAATTTATCAATGTTTTTTTTTCTCCTTTCTTTTGTAAATGGGTCTGTGTGAAACTTAGCAATTATTTGTAAATACATGTGTATACTTTATAACATACGATAATTGTTTTAATTAATAATAAATAAAGTTCAATAGTTAAGTGTCACTGTTACTCATGTTACTGACTGATACCCCCTCCAGGCCTGCTAAAAAACAAAAACAAAAAACTGTTCATAGATGTAACTTTTACTGCAAAGTGCAAGACTCTTAACTAAAATGACCGTGAAAGTGATATTTTTTATTATTAGCTCGACTATACTAAGAATATGGTGAGTTGTCCTACTCACCTCGGTTTGCAAGTCGACGTCAGCGTCCATACTTTAAATTAATGTTTATGCGCCTATTACTTCTTTATTTCTTAAGGTATCAATTTCAAATATATATCCCTTATCATCATTTACATCATTTGATAAGGTGCAAAATTCTAAAACCAGTATTTCCAGAACTATATCCCCTTGAACTTAAAATAATGTTATATGTTACTGTAACATCTTCATTTCATATTAAAGTATTGACTTTAAACTTCAAACATGTGTTCCTTATCATCAACTACATCATATGTGACAATGTTTTTTTTTTAACTTTAGCACCAATTTTTCCAGAATTATCTCCCCATGAACTTTTTTCTCTCAAAAAAATGTTACTTTTTACTTACTTTTTTATTTCTTAAGGTATCTACTTCTAACTTCAAATATATTTCCTTATCATGTGTGACAAGATTCATAACTGTAGCATGAATATTTCCAGGATTATTTCCCCCATTAAACTTTTTCTTAAATAAAAATTGATATTTTATAACTTTAAACAATAACATGGCAAGCTTCATAACTCTAGCATCAATATTTTCAGAATCATCATCCCTTTATACTTAGAATTTTCCTTATTAAATTCGGACTTCAACAAGAGCTGTCACACAAGTGACGAATGCCCCCGAAAAAGTTTCTTAAGCATGCAGGATGGTAGTATGAAAAGAAAAGAGGATGAAAGTAACTAATTGCTTAATATTTTTCTTTGTATTATTGTACCTATAATCTCTAATTGTGATAGCGTGAACCTTCAAAATATAAGTGTGACCTTGACCTTTGAAGAAGGGACGTGGTTCCTGGACGCGACAGAATGTTGTCATGAGATAGACATTTGTGCCAAGTTATTTCAAAATCCCTCAATGCATGACAAAGTTACATACTGGACACGATTGTTGTGTAAGTGGGGACACACGGACGGACAGACGGACATGAGCCTTAGCTGCGATACATCGTCCTGATGTGGTAGACATTTGTGCCAAGTTATTATAAAATCTTTCCATGCATGACAAAGTTACAGTCCGGACATGAATGTGTATCTTCAAACTCTTCTCGAGAGAATGAATACCTTCAAACTATAAGTATGACCTTGACCTTGAAGATAGGGATATGGGTCTTAGTCGCCACATGTCGTCTTGATGCCTCTTGTTTATGCCTAGTTATTTTGTAATCTTTCGATGCATGACACTCCGGACACGAATGTGTGTAACTATAAACTCTAATTTTGATATAGTGAACTTCAAAATGGTAGTGTGACCTTGACCTTTGAGGTAGGGGCGTTATAAATGGACGCGACACATCGTCTTGCTGTGGTAGACATTTATGCCAAGTTATTCAAAAATTCTTCCATGCATGACAAAGTTACATCCCGGACACAAATGTGTGAACCTTTAAACTTTTATTGTGATAAAGTGAAACTTCAAAATGTTAGTGTGACCTTGACCTCTAAGGTAGGGACGTAATTCTTGGACGCAACACATCGTCTTGATGTGGTAGACATTAATGCCTAGTTATTTTAATATCATTCCATGCATGACAAAGTTATAGTCCGGACACGAATGAAGTGGGGACGCACAGACAGACGGACGTCCAGACAGACAGACAGAGGGACGGTGCGATTTTAATATGCCTCCCTTCGGCGGCATAAAAATGTTTCTTATCAACACCTATATCAGGTGCGATTAGATTTATAACTCAAGTCCTGTATTTCTAGAATTATCTCCATTTCATTTTTGAACTAGGGATTTATTGAAAATTAATATATTTCTAAGAATTATCTTTGTTATTATAAATGACATCAACTCTAGACTTAAGATAATTGTCCTTTGTCATTACTTACATCATGCATGACAAGGTTCATAACTCTAGCATCCTTATTTCAAGAGATATTTCCTCTTTGAACTTAGAATTTTACTTTAAAAACTTTATTTACTTTTTGCTTGTATCATTTTGGTACCTTTTTTTTTTTTTTTTTTTTTTAATCACATTCATCTCTTTTCCTACTAGATAGAATGATAAGCTTCAATAATGCTATGAATCAATTATTATTATTAATAAACATTATTTTGCTCCTGAAAAAAGAAAAATAATGTAAATCACTGAGGTATGATATGCCTTTAATATGAAAGTAATTTACACAAGTATTTTCATTGTGAGTTGTAAGTGATTAAAAACCGTTTTTAATGTAATCCAATTTTTTTTGTCTTTAACTATTATTAAAAATTGTATGGATCTCAAGTTAAATCTTAGTTTTTCGTTACGTCTAAAATGTTCTACATATGACTATACATTCTTGAAACATGATAGGATCATAAAACATTCAAGGGTGCTGCTATCAGTAGTACAGTGACAAGCCGTGTAATTATAATTAAATGCTCATCACCAGAGGCGTAGCCAGCTTTTTCAACTTGTAGGCAAATAAAAGGGGGTCTGGGGGGCTATGTCTTGGGGCATAGCCAAACATAAGTTCAGATTAAAAAGAGCAAAATGTGAGCCCCAAAGTATGTTCAACGAAAATTATCAACACAATAATTTTAAACGGATTTGATAACATACAAACTATACTGAGGATGGTTAATCATGCACACATACTTGATTCGACTATACGGCTTGAATCCACTACTAGCCGACCCTCGCCTGTTTTATTGTATTTTTGGGACTTTTGAAAATGTCAATTTCTTGACCAACTTGTAGGGCCGTGCCTACATGGCCTTATAGTAGCTACGCCACTGATCACTGACCAGAGATAGGAAATTTTGGGAGAAAACTGGAAATCTTGGGTTTATGCGTAGGACTGTAAACAAAAATGCAAAGGAAAACGAATAAATAAATGAGCAGCGTCATGACAAAACCAACATAATGGGTTTGCGACCAGCATGGATCCGGATCAGACCAGTCTGCCCACCGCGCAGTCTGATCAGGATCCATGCTGTTTGCTTACCAACCCTATTACAAGCAGAGAAACTGATAGCGAACAGCATGGATCCTGATCAGACTGCGCGGATGCGCAGGCTGGTCTACATACATGCTGGACGCAAACCCATTATGTTGGTTTTGTCGTGACGCGGCTCAAATGATTATTTACGTCAATAATATCACAAAAGTCAAAACACAGGCTTAAAGAATAGAAGTGTAAACATTTGATATTTAAAAGGGGGATGATTTAAGCACAAAAATACAATAAATTTCTATTTTAATGCATTAAAAATTGTCAACAACGCATGTTAAAAACGAAAGTAGCAAAAAGTACAGAAGGGAAGTAACTCCTGTGCACATCACAATCTCCTACGCACTGATCTCCCCTTATCAGTACAATTCTGCCAAGGGAGGTAATCAGTTAGAGAAGTTTGAGATTTAATATATAGTACAAGCTGTTAAACTGAGCCTGCAATTTCGTGAAAATAATATCACAATGCACATGCTTTTTACATAAAGTTATTAAATACAAATTTAACAACATATTTGTTTACTTGATCTTTACGAATCAAAATAATACTAATTAATACAACATGACATTAACTGCTAATAATAACAACTCCTTCCATAGGCCAAAATAAAAACCATTCCATAAGAGACGACGCCGCTCACCGGCGTCGCCAATAAAGTTTGTTTAGGCATCCATTGTCTCAATCTTATGCTTAAAAATAAACGAAAATATATTTTAATTTCTTTCACTTTTGTTATTGGAACAAAAATGTGTTTAGTACAGTTTAGTACTACCCAGTCTACAGTAACAGACATTTTTCTCTCAGACCAATGCTTTTTCTACATTTTTTTATTATTCTTTAATTCTAATTTCAACTATAATTGTTTAAATTGGATTACATGGAAAATTATGTAGATAATAGTTTAAGAACTGACAAAGGCAGATTTTAAAATAGTGTGATTATTTTCCACAAGAACATGCCGACATAAAAAAAGAGAAAAATATCAATGACTATTTAATATGAAATAATTTTGCTGTGTATCCTAAACTTGAGTACAAAGTTGTAAAGATTTTTTCTAAAAAAAGGAAAGAATTGAAATAATCAGTGTAATAAAGAAATGCAAAATCCTTTTTAAGCTCACCTGACCAACTCAGGGTGGGCTTTTAGGTTCGTTGAATGTCCGTCGTCTGTCGTCCGTCCACACTTGTTCGTTAACACTCTAGCGGTAACATTTTTTTCAATACTAGTATGTCTCTGTTTTTCAAGTGTTTGTCTCAGTTGCATTCTATTTTTCAATTAAGCATTATCCGAACGTTTATTGCTTTTTGTTGTTTTTTTTTTTTTTTTTTTTTGTTTCTTTTTGGTGTTGATGATATCCTTTTTTTCAAAATTACATGAGTTTTGTATATTGGTTGGCAACATCTACTTGGGGTATTTGCATTATCGGTAAAATGTTATGAATAAATTATTTTGAGCTTCATATACGTATTCACTTTGTGTATTGAACAAGTTCCGAAGTTTGTCTCAGGTTAATGTTGCCAATTAATAATATGTGCTTATATGAATATGTGTTATTTCTGAATAAGTATATTTTTACTCTGTTCTTAACAAATCAAAATATCTCTATTTGCATTCCATCTTGCTGATAATGTACTATCTTATTATAACTTTCCTATTCTTCTGTTTTTGTATTGAATCCAGTCTTCTAGGATGTAGTTTTGGTGTGATGTTGCTAAGTTTTGATTACCTGTCTGTCCCCGTCGTCGGTACAATCTTACTAGTATTAAGCCTGTATCCGTTTAGGAAGTGAATGATTTAAGTGCATACCGCGCGGCGATTGGTCTTTTTTATAACAGCACTCAGAGGGTACTTAAGAAATAAGTTATTGTAGCTATCCGTATAAAGCATTAACGAAAGTTTTTATCTATTTAATGTCGTATGTGTTATTAATACGACGTGCAATCTGGTTTATCTATTCGAATATTGTCAATCTTTATTTTAGTGTATTTGTTTCTTTATAACTATGTTATATTTAATCGTTTGACAAATGAACTTTGACGAAGCATCGAACAGTATATCTTACATTTTTCATTTCTTTTATCAAATCTTATACTTTTATCTGGTGATATTGAATTAAATCCAGGGCCTAATGATGTCATTGTCGATCTTTATCAATTTTTCATTAGAATATAAGAAGTATCAGGAATAAAATTGAATATATTACAGATAACTGGTTAGACTTTGATATTATCTGTTTTACGGAAACACATTTGGACAACTCAATCAATATTGACAGCTTGAAACTAACTAATTTCAGTCAAATATACCGTAAAGACAACACGTGTCACTCTGGTGGACTTTTAGTTTATGTTAATGAGAAGCTCGTATCTAAAAGGCTAATTGATTTGGAAAATACCTTACCCGAAGCACTTTGGATTGAAATAAAAGACCTTTAATGAAAAAAAAAATTGATAGCTAATATCACATTATTAGAAACGGTATCTGGAAAAATGTGTAACAAATAATATGGTAAGGTGTCCTGTTTAGCTTTATACATTAACGAGTTTTTGAATAGTTCGTCTGTCAGCCAATGCTACCTAAGCAAACAAACCACCGACAGTTCCTTATAATTTCTGTATCACTCGGTTTTACATGCTCAAATTCGTAACAAATGTAGCAATTTAAATGTTGATTTATTTAGAAATTTTTTAAAAGAAAATGCATCTTATGAATGAGGTTATGCTTCCGAAGATGCTGAACATTTCTTTTTTAATTGCAGACGGTATACACCACAACGAATTCAACTTTTTAATGCTACTCGCATTTTTTATTAATTATCCATAATATCAATACTTTTTAGATTTATATTAGGGACGGACAGAATTACTAATGTTATTTGAACTTGTGATCCAGCCCTTTTTCTTTCAAAATGTATTTTTATATTTTTTCTATATATTTGCATTGTATATCTTGTAAAAATTAAAAGGAATAAAATATGTTTAAACACGACTTATTCCTTTCCATTTAACCAATTAATTCGCAGCCATTTTACGCTTGCGTAAAACCTCGCTTCTTGCCTACTTGTACGAATTTTCATTGACCTTGAACTGAAGATTTATGTTTTTTTGTCCGCGAATTCTAAGAAGTCATTAAACCTTAATTGACCTTGAACTGAAGATTTATGTTTTTTTTGTCCGCGAATTCTAAGAAGTAATTAAATCTTAACAGAAACAGGACATGTTTTTCTATGATAATTAAAGGTTCCGGAATACAAATACTCAAGTGACAAAGAAACCGGATGTAAGAGTACTTACAGTAAGTTTTGAAGATAGGATCATTGATGAACACGTAGATCTGGGTTTGTTTTTTTTTAAACTGCATTCAGTATATATATTGTATATTGCGGATTTGAAGAAAGAGTTTAACGATGTTATTACCACGTGCTATTACACTGACAAGTATTATATCATGGATTCTTTTTATTACAGTATTTTCCTTCGGAACAACAGATGCTAGAGGTACGTAAAACAAATTTTATTTTTGGTACTATTTTGGAAATGTTTTAAAGTCTCACGTCTCGGTAAAAAATGATATGACAACTTCCCAGCTTTACCTGGTGTGGAAAAGAAATATTCGTAAGTAAAACCATTGCCGTTCTGCTCGCAAGTACTTGTCACACAGTGGATTTTTTTCGAATCCACAGAAGAGAGTAGCGAGGGAGTCAGCACATACCCTTTAACTTTAAATAGGAAGAGATATTATCTACATTATTTACACACTATTTCAGTCGCATGTCATTATAGGCCTAATTAATTACAATAAATTGCTATAACTTGCGCTCTCCACGCTAATAAGTGATTTATTGAATGATATTTAACTAATCCAGTCAGGAAAATTATGTCCCGTCTTAGAGACCGACTCATCATGTTTAGATAAATTGACAGTATAAACTAAAAATGATTTAGTATAATCTATCACCGCCCAACCGCCCATTTCCCCCCCCCCCCCTCAAAAAAAAGTTAAGTAAAAAATAAAATTTAGATAATACCAAATGTAGTTATTGATTAAGGGAGTATAATCAGAATCTCTAATTTTGCGTCATCATTTAGTTCACGGTAATGGCATATTTCCCTGTGATCAGTGTTAACATTGGTCAAAATTGACATATTTTAATCATACACCTAAATATCAAAGTATTTGCGCAAAATATTTAAAATCTATTTACTTAGACTAAAGATTTTTTTAGAAAAAAAAAACAAACAAAAAAAACATTTAACTGATTTCTGCAAAAGATCACAGTAGTCTGTTTAAATGTATGCATTCGTCTGAAAAGTCATCATTTTCTAAATGTTCCTGTTTGTTAAGAAAGCAATTTTGAGTTTCTAACTAAAAAGTAAGTTTTAATATCTAAATTTTAGTAATTTTAACTGGAGCAAAAGAAAAAAAACCAAGGGTATTACACCAACACCATTTTCCACGAATTAAATGATGACATAAAGTTTCAAAATGGTTTATGTTCTGGCCCATTAGGTCTTATTTTGATTGAATATGTTGTTGTTTAATTGTCTCATACAGCAGAAAGTATCTAAATGTTACAGTTTATAATTTTTTTTTTTTAAAAAGTTGATTTTTTCCCTTCTTGTTTCAAAGTGTTAAGTACCGGAGCGCAGTGCAAAAAAAAACAGGAAGTAGTAAAAAACAATCACACAACAACAACAACAACACCAAAAAATAAACACAACAATATAGCCTCTGGGGGAGAACTTATAACTTAGCCTATAACATTGTAAATACATAGTTTTACGTGTACTTTGACGCAAATAAGTTTATTATAAAATTTATTCAGGGGAGCTATTCAGTAATTATGTAATTATTTGCTTCTTTCATCATGTTGTTGACCATTCCTAACATCTTGCTAATTATTAATAATACAGCAAACAATTTCCCTCTAGTGCAGTTTCCGAAGTATAGCGGAAAATTTACAGGTGCCCTCAACAAACCGCGACATTCATTTCCCCTTTCATATTATACCGTGTATGATTTATTTTTTTCCTCAATAAATCAGTGCGCAGTTCTATAGCGTTGCTGAAACGTATTAATCTATTCATTTTCGCAGTGAAAAGGAAATACGGCTGTGTACTTCCAGAGGAACCCTGGTATGGTTCTTTTATCTTCGACGACCGGAAGAGGACTTTGCGTTATGAATGTGATGATGGTTACATATTGACCGCCTACCGGCAACGCGACCGGAAGTGTCGAAAGGGTAAATGGACCGGAAGTGACTTGTACTGTTTGAACTTGGACTTTACACGTATGTATTTTATCATTTCTTTTGTGTGTGTGTTTGGGGGGGGGGTATTTTAAATCCATTTTATCTCGTTTATGTTTATTTAAATAACTGTTAGGGTGCATTGGTCGCATGAACGTTTAGTCTTTCTGACTAAACAAAAGAAATAAACAAAGTTAATCTTTGTCCATGTTAGTTCATACTATATCCTTGTCCGTAAAATTATGATCTATAAGTACGTCCGATGCTGCTTCACAAGTCGCAAGAAGAAACAAGATACTTCACCGCCCCAACACACCTGACACTTCACCGCCTCCACATACCTGACACTTCACCGCCCCCCCCCCCCCCCCACACACACACATTCACTTAGGAATCACACTTATCTTTTTCTTGTCTTTATTGTCTAGTTAATGCAGACTTATATGAATGGAACAAATGAAATATTGAACATAAATGTTAATTATGTTCCGTGCAAAAAAAACTTTTAAAACTTACATATCCGTGTTTTGATCGGATTTTTTCTCCTTGATAGAAACCGCCTTGACTCGTAAAAAGCAAGAGAACGCAAAGATGACCGTGCAGAAGCCGTTTTGGTTAACCACCGTGGATATACCGTCCAATGCATTAAGTTCCAGTTTATCCCCCTATTCCCCCGACACCCTCCCGCTCAATGTAAGTTAGCAAGGCACTAATTATTTTAGGGTGTTTTCATTGTAAAAAGACATGACGATCACTAACACATCTTACACATATTCAGACAAGATTAAATTCACATTTAAACTTATCATTTGCTTTACTGATTTTGAAAATTCAACATTAGAAAACGCGTAAAAGTGCGAACACAAATAGTTCTATTTAAGATTTGAATTTTATTTCTTTTAGAGTCAAAATGCCCTGAGTTAAGAACTCCAAACAATGGCCATGTATATACGGAGGGAAGAGTTGTTGGTAGCAAAGCTTCTTTTATTTGTGACGAGGGTTTCGTACTTTACGGTTCAGCTACAAGAACTTGCCAGAAAGGCCGCAGATGGGATGGTACTATGCCTGTTTGTAAAAGTAGGTCGATAAGACTGGATTATTTTTACTGTTATTTTATATAACGTTATACTGAAAATATTATCTTTTATATACTGCATGTTTGTAACGCTGCTTTTCACTTGACAATCGTGACCGTTAGCCTTTAGTTTTTTAATAATACTGCGCGTTTGTAATGTCACTTTTCATTGGATACTCGTGACATTTATAAAGCTTTTTAAAATGGATTTAAGTCAAGATTTTTTCAAGATTTTCAAGATTTATTCGAAACCAAGGCATATAATATGCATAAGGTTATGATATATCAACAATATAATGAACAGTTATTCAAAAGTAATTAACAAAACATATAAACATAAAATTATATATAATAAGGAAATCAATTTGACTAACACATAACATTTGACTAGACTACTTTTTGGACATAATTTGTCTTATACAGAAGTTATCTAAATTGTTTCTATGTAAATACATTCATAAAGTTGAGAAATTCAGGACTTTCAGGAGAATGAGTTATTTAAATTTTGAAATAATAATTTTGCAGAATAATGCAAGTTTTAATAAAATTGAATGGTCAAAGCTATTCATTAAAGATTCTAATTTATAAATATTAGGATGATTTGAGAATTTTGAATCAATAAACTTTTTACAAAGAGAGTTAAAAAAGTTACATTCAAATAAGTAATGTCAATACAGGATTGGAGCAGTACCTATAGACGCTTGCATGATCATGATCATAAAATACACAAATATCGTTTTTTCCCCGATTTATACATTTGTCATTCACTATAATACATAAATCGGTGTGAAAAGATTAATTAGACCTTTTAAAGTTCATTCCGTTGGGTGAAAAGGTAAAATTTTAGCAGTTTATCATTCAACCGCCTTGTCCGCGGTATATACCGGAATACAATTTTCATTCGTTATCATACATAAATTGGTGTGAAAAGATGAATTAGACCTTTTAAAGTTCATTCCGTTGGGTGAAGGGGCAAAATTTTAGCAGTTTATCATTCAACCGCCTTGTCCGGTATATACCGGAATACATTTTTCATTCGTTATCATACATAAATTGGTGTGAAAAGATGAATTAGACCTTTTAAAGTTCATTCCGTTGGGTGAAGGGGCAAAATTTTAGCAGTTTATCATTCAACCGCCTTGTCCGGTATATACCGGAATACATTTTTCATTCGTTATCATACATAAATCAGTGTGAAAAGATGAATTAGACCTTTTAAAGTTCATTCTGTTTGGTGAAAAGGCAAAATTTTAGCAGTTTATCATTCAACCGCCTTGTCCGGTATATACTTGAATACGGTATTTAGTGTGGTGCTCCAATCCTTTTTTAGTCATACTGCACATTTATAACGTCAATTTTCATTTGATAATCGTGCCGTTTATATAGTTTTATATAAACGGCTGCTGTCAATTTATAAAGAAATATCACTTTTTCTCTAAAAGAAGGAAGTTTGCAGTATTATAGGTTTAATGGCCGAATATAAACCGTTGTTTGCAATAAAACCCTCGCCTGGCGGCTCGGGTTATATTTACAAACAACCGTTTTTATAGGGTAATATAACCTGTCAACAATCTTTATAACTAATGATATACACGGCTGCTGTAAGTATTCGGAGAAATCTCACTCTTTTCTTTTATAGACTGAATGAGGGAATGATTCAAGATATTCATAAGTTATTAGTCAAGACCTATATTAACTGGTGCTCAAGTCTCGAAAAAATATAGCCTGTTCCTTTATGTTAAAAACCTAAAAGGTTCGGAGTCCCTTAAATTTCATAAATTAAACATTGTCCCACGTTGCACTTCGATTGCATCAAAAAGTATAATAAATCTTAACTGTAAGAACAGCTACTGCCTATAAATGTATTCGGCGGTCACAATGTTTTTTTTTTCATGTACCAATAACCAAGTTATTGTCTCAACATGAACGGATTGTGTGTTAGTCTCATTCATTCAACAGTAACATAATTATTCTCATTTATTCAAAAGTCATTGTGTTTTCTCAAGTACATGTATTGTGTAATTCTCATATATTCAACAGTCGCTGTGACAGCAGTCTTGTATTCAGCAGTGACTGTATTCTTATGTATTCAACAGGTCGACGCACCATCAAGGATATTGCCAGTCATTTGAAAGAAACTATGATTGACAGTTTGGCAGGGGCGACAACTAGCTCAAAGACTGGCGCCCAGTGTAATTTCATTTTGTTTTACATTTATTCTTATTTATAATTAAGTACATGTATTACGATAACAAATGGAATTTGAAATCTCTTTTATGCACACATTTGCCTTTTTGGGATGCTTATTAAATCAGTTATAATCAAGATATTAATATGAATCTTAAACATCACCTAATATAAGTACCATCTAAACTATACTTTCAAACTAAAACGGACTTGCCTGTTTGTTTGTTTGTTTGGGTTTTACGCCATAACATTATAAATGTCTATAAATTTCAGCTCGTTTATAATCGCTTGTAAAGAGGTCTTTATATAGACTAAGTAATGCTTGAGATAAATTTCTATAAATTTCAGCTCGTTTATAATCGCTGGTAAAAGTGGTCCTTATATAGTAACGTTTGAAATAAATTTCTATAAATTTCAGCTCGTTTATAATCGCTGGTAAAAGTGGTCTTGATGTCGTAATGTTTGTGATAAATTTCTTTAAATTTCAGCTCGTTTAAGCCCTGGTAAAAGTGGTCTTGATGTCGTTTTGCTTGTCGATGTATCTTCCAGCATTGGGGACAGGTCAATGGATTCGGCGAAAAAATTTATGAAACTACTTGTGGATATTTTTGGTGTATCAAACGAAACGTCCGGAGGTATATTTCACCTTTGTATAATGTCGATCGAATTTTATAGTTAAGTTAGAAGCTGTATAAACCGATTACATTTGTATTAAACATCTGAACTATGGGTAAATTATATAAAAATAAAGATTTTTACACGTTTACAAAGATGACCGTACAATCGATCGACACTTCCATATTTTCAATCCAACGTACATAAAGTAGAACGTACAAACAAACGACACTTCATATTTGTCTCACACATATACAAATAAGATTGTACAAACGATCGTCACATCTATATTTTTTCTCACACTTATACAAAGTTGTCCATACAAACGATAGTCTCAACCAAATCTTTCTCTACCTTATCCAAATGTTGTCGGTACGAACGATCGTAACTTTCATATTTTTCTTACACAAGTACAAAGTAGCCTGTACAAACTAGCAAAATTCCCATATTTTTATCCACACGCACACAAAGAGAACCATACAAACGACCGACACTCCCATGTTTTTTTTCTCACATTAATTCAAGCAAAGTACTGCGTATAAACGATCGACACTTCCATAATTTTCTCACACTTGTATAACGTAGCCTGTAGAAACGACCGCCACTTCCATATTTAATTCACACTTCTACAATTTTTGAAAGTAGATTGTACCAACGATCGCCAATTCTTTATTTCTTGTCACATATGATTATTTCTAGGCAAAAATGGGACCAGATTTGCTTTAATGACGTTCAATGATAAGCCAACTATTGTTTTCAACCTGAATGATAAAACCGCACGGTCCAAATCAGAAGTCAAGAAAATGATTGACAAGATACAGGTGATTATTATGCTTATAATTATATTTTATTTGGAAAAAGTGTTTTTATTTGTTTGTGTCGTCAGACCAAACAAATAATGGTAGCGAAATTTCAGACCCTGATGCTGTTAATTGCAAATTGCCGGAAGTTTTTGAAGTGGTTACTTCCCTTTATATGTACACTAACGCCGAAACATTCAGGGGAGATCACTGCGTAAAGATTGTCAAATGACAGGCGTATTAATTTTCAAGCAAAACAGTTCCCGAATGGTCGAAGATTTCTAATATTGTTTTATTCTTTATAGATATACATGCTTATAGTAAGCTCCATGATGTTTAGCGTCAAAATAATATGAGTTACAAACCCTAATTTAGAATAATATGGTTTTCTTCAGACCGTTGTCATGTAACTTCACCGTGGCCGAGGGGTTTGCACGCTCGCTTAGGAATCGAGAGGTCTAGAGTTCAAATCCCAGTTGAGGCAACTCCTTTTTTTATTTTTTTAAACCAAATAAACATTGTATTGAATATCAGTGTTGCAATCAGTCGTATAGCCAATTTACTACAGTTAAAACACTGGAAAGCATTGGTGGCACTATACAAAAACAAATTGGTTTATAATCTCATAACTTCACCTTTCTGACATTCGGAGACCCAAACAAATTCAGCGCCTTCTGTGCTTTGATTTTTTTCTGCATGTGGCCTGGGAAGAAGACAAAAATATGCCAAGGCCATCGGCTGTACTATCAAGAAGAGGAAGTTTATTTGAAGACAGCGTCCTAAGCTAACTATACTTTTCTGATATATATTATTGACTAAGGTTATTATGCCCTGAACAGTATTAATATCTCATATTTTCGAAGTTACATGTATCTATGTAAGTTGTACCAAGATTAGTTTTTATCATTTTTGTGCTTCACAAATAATATTTCAAGAGCATGACGGTGAAATATCCAGGGTTGATACTTGGTAGTGTGATGCATCTTTAAAAGGACGGACTCTGGGCGGTTGAAGAAACATTGATCGACAAACACGGAAAAAGCACACAGTTGAAGGGGTGTTGGGGTAATGGGTGATAAAAGACTTGTGGTGAGATATGCGGTTAAAACATGTCGAAGAAATGTGTTTCAGAAATTATTATTGTGTTTCAGAACCCTTCATAGTTCTCAATTTATGTCCCGGATTCAGTTCAAACTGTAAAAATGAACGAGGGGCAATTTTTCCAAAATTCAGGAAGGGAATTTTCGATTGTTATGTACATCATTTCCACTCATTCACATCTATCTACCTACAAAATTTGAAGCTGGTATATCTTGTACATTCTGAGTTACGTCCCGGACAAGAAATCTGCATCGGACCGACCAACTAACTAACCGACCGATCAACAGCTGACTCCAGTATACCCCCACAAACTTTGTTTGGCGGTGGTTTTATAATACGTGCTCGTACATATAATGTGTTTCAGATAACTGGCGGTGGGACAGACATCTCTAAAGCTTTGAATGCAGTGGGCAGAGAAGTACATAACATAGTTATTACAAGGAATTTGCCGCGATTGACTGGTGCTACGCGTGCAGTTTTTCTTCTCACGGACGCTGAGGAGACAGGTTATGTAAAGGGGGACCGTATGACACGTATCAGAATGAATGCAAACACCTTAAAAACTGGTAATTGCTTGTACCCTTTGAAACAATCATAGACTTGTTGTCATCGCCATGGTATTTTAAAACCGTTGTCACTGAGTCACATGTTCGTTGTGGTGATATGCATTTCAATCTCTCTATAACCGCCTCCGTGGTCGAGGGGTTAGAGTCGATGACTTCTAATCCAGTTACCTCTCTGGCGTGGGTCCGATCCCCGGGAGATGCTTTGTTTAGTTTAGCACGGAGCAAGGTAGTCTAGTACTGGTGTAACTCTCCAGGAACGATACCCGTCTATATGACTGAAATACTTTTGGGAAAAGGTGTAAAATGAAACAAACAAACGTATTTTTAACACGTATACATTGCATTTAGATAGTATAGGATAATGTATTGATTTTGAAATACCAGAAATACAGAAATGGCACGTGTGATTAAGTCAGACAAGTGATGTCAATCGGGGAGTTATCCTCGGATAACATTATCATGTCAAGGGTGAACACAAATTAATACTTAAATTTCAGAAAACCCCACTTATATATCGATTACCCTCTTATGACAATGCTGTTGTGGCGGCCAAGATTCAAATCGGTGGCCTCTCAGCTTTAACTATATAAATCCGGCGGTCTCGAGAATATCGTTATAAGCTTGATTTACTGCATGCATTTCATATTTCAAATTTATATTGCTCATCACTTAAGTCATGTTATATAGAAAATCATATAATATTAAACACTGAAAGCACTTTTTAATTTAATAAAATCTGTTTCAATAAATAAATCTTAGAAATTTTATTTCATTATCTAAAAATCTTATTATCAAAATACAAGCAAATATTGTCTGGAGAATAATCATGCCTAGTATGTGATTCCTTTCAAGAGAAATATTAGGTACAGTATTCCATCCAGAGTAAAGCCCATTTCATCCTAGGAAATTTATAAGTTGAAAATTCTGCATGTTATAAAATTTCTGCCGGAATAGTTCTTGTTTTCCACCTAGAAACGTCAACAAATTGTTTTGCATGTGAGAAGAAATGACACGGAAATCATTGAATACGTGCCAATTCTTTCCGATTTCAGCCCACATTTCGTGCCAAAATTTCGTACGTGCCTTTTACGTCATAGAAAGCAATATAGTAAATAACTCACGTGATGTATGATATAGAACACAGAGAATGAATGAATAATAAAGATAAAAACCAATGAAATAATTACTTTTAATACATATTGAAAATACTTGTTGAAAGTTTTTTAAAGAATTATGTGCGGGTTTGATTAGCATTTTTTGTATGGTTCCAACCGTAAAAAAACATGACAGGGGGCTTTTCTACGGAATGCCGTTAGGGCCATTGTCTATGAATGTGTTGATCTGAAACGCGATAGTCGATAGTACGATGGTGAAAACGCGAAATCACGAAACTACGATGGTGAAAACGCGAAAGCACGATGATGAAAACGCGAAAGTACGATGATGAAAACGCGACAGTACGATACTACGATGATGAAAACACGATAAACTATCGTGTTTTCACCATCGTACTGTCGCGTTTTCACCATCGTAGTTTCGTGATTTCGCGTTTTCATCATCGTACTGTCGTGTTTTCATCATCGTACTATCGCGTTTTCACCATCGTACTATCGCGTTTTCATCATCGTACTGTCGTGTTTTCATCATCGTACTATCGCGTTTTCACCATCGTACTGTCGTGTTTTCATCATCGTACTATCGCGTTTTCATCATCGTACTATCGCGTTTTCATCATCGTACTATCGCGTTTTCACCATCGTAGTTTCGTGATTTCGTGTTTTCACCATCGTACTATCGACTATCGCGTTTCAGATTAACACATTCATAGGCGATGGCCCTAACGGCATTCCGTACTTTTCTAACGTTGATAATGAGGAATTGTTTTATTTATAAATCCATAGTATTTTAAAGGTATGCCTTATAAGAAACCATTTCTTTTTTAAATATAATATGTGTTGAGCAGCATTAATTGGCATCTATACGAAACTTACTTTTTGGTAGTAAATTTTTGTATGACATACACTTTATTTGAGATTTATAGAAGTGTCAATATTTGCTCTACATGTAAATCGATCATTTCTCCAAAAATCAAAAGGCTGAGGCCTCTTCCCGATTTTAAGTGAGTGATCAACAGATGTGTGATTTTGAGTGGGTGGAGCAAAAATATATAACTATCAGACCAGGAGCAATTGATGCAGGCTATATCCTAATGCCAAACATGCCATGACAATGCTTAGCAACATATTTCTACAAAATATTCGAAATATTTGTAATTGTGTTTTTGGAAAGTCTGAAATACCCGCTCCTAAGTTTTGAGTATATTTTATTTTTTTCATCAATCCACAGAAAAAAATTTCAAAACATTTATTTTAACTTTGTTATTGCTTATTTTGCAGCTGGTAATTTCGAGATATTTTGTATTGGAGTAGGACAGAACATAGACCATTCTTTATTGGCGGAAATAGCCTCAAAACCACAAATCGAACACGTGTTTACCTTGTCTAAATTTGAAGACCTGGAGAAAGTGGGAGATATCATAGCAGAGAAAAACATAGGTATTATAATTATTACTTTGGTTGAGGTAATTGACGCATACCGGTAACTTTACTTAAGATAAGTGATACTAAGTATACAACTTATTAAAAATAAATTACGCATACATCTTCATTATAGATAATTGAAGGGTACAACTTCATTTGAGATAATTGACGTATTAAGCATCTTTTGAAATAATTGACATATATATCTTTATTTAAGATATTTCATGTATATAGCTTTATTTTGGGTAATCTATATATTTCAATTTATACGATATAAATGATGTACGAGCGCATTCAACTTCATGAGAGACAATTGACGTAAAAAGCTTGTATGTAAGATAATTGACTTCTATAAGTGTATTCGCGATAATTTGCCTACATTACTTCGAGATTTATAACTGGCGCATAAAGCTTTATTTGAAATAACTGGCGTATATAACTTTAAGATAATTGGCGTTCAAAGCTTTTTTCGATATAATTTGCGTATATGACCTTATTCTAGATCACTGGTGTATACAATTTTATTTGAATTAATTCACTCATATAAATATAAAGCTTTATCTGAGATAAGTGGGGTAAGTAACTTTATATGTTAAAATTGACACAATAAATTTAATTTAAGAATATTGAGGAATATAATTTTATTCTAGATAGTTTGCATAAATGGCCACATTTGAGATAATTAACGCTTATAGTTTAATACCAATGATATTGCGTTAGAAATAATTGACATATATAATTTTTTTATAAAGAACTGGCGTGTATTGTACAATTGTAGGCCTATGCTGAGGTCTATATATATAGTTTTTTGGACCAGAGAAAAGTAGTCCAAGGTCGATGTTATTATCATCAGATCGGAAAACTATATATTGACATACACTTTTATCGTATTTTATCGTTATGTCGTATAGCACTTGCTATAACAGGGTATAAAGACTATCACGCCATGACAAAACCAGCATGTTTTTAAATTTAAATTTATGTGACTTAAAGGCCTACAAGTTATTTTGAAGACTTGAAAGTCACCAAATTAGAACGGCATTTTTATAAACGGTATACATATATAATATAACTTAAATAATAGCTTTATTTCTAGATGTCTGACGCACAAAACTGTATACGAGTTAATTGGCATTATATCTATCAAAGGGAATATAATAAATTAACCGTTGAAAGTCATAGAAAGTGAAAAATTTGCCATAATTCCTTTCAAATTGTTAAATTACTTAACACAAGAACTATAAAACCAGCATTGTTTAAGGAAATTTAAGTAATTCACAAAATACCCATCGGAATTTACACTATTCCTGCGCCGTTCATTTCATAAATAAATGTGAGGCAGTCTTTTTATATCTTAGGTATCCTTAACAAATTAGTATTTCAGTCATATAGGCGGGTAGTTTCCTATCCATCGTTCCTGGAGAGTTACACCTGTACTAGACTACCTTCCTCTTTGGTAGTTTAGCGCGGAGGAAGGTAGTCTAGTACTGGTGTAACTCTCCAGGAACCTTCCTCTTTGGTAGTTTAGCGCGGAGGAAGGTAGTCTAGTACTGGTGTAACTCTCCAGGAACGATGGATAGGAAACTACCCGCCTATAGGACTGAAATGTTGTTGGAAAAAGGCGTAAAATAAAACAAACAAACAAACAAACTTAACAAATTCTAATATCAACTATCAACTCTTGATCAGTCATATTTGTAGCATTCAATCTTTTAAAAATATCGCAAATTCAGCTCAATTTGGCAATGACAAAATGATCACAATGTCACTTTTATTCGAGATTGTTGGCATGTATAGCTCTATTCGAGATCATTGAATTATCTGACTTTACTTATATTATTTAACTTTTTTTAAAAATAATCAACGTACGTACACAGCGTAGGTAGCTTTATATGATATAATTGACGTAAATAGCTTTATTTGATATAATTGACGTAAATAGCTTTATTTGAGATAGTTGAAGCATTGCGTTTTTTTTTAAATAATTGACGTATTACTAACGTATAATTGCATTGTATTAAATATTAATAAGAAACGTGTATTTGAATACTTATTCATCATACATATGATGATATATTATCAACAATTATTCCTTCTTTCCAGCTAAACTTTCATATACAATTTGTTTAAAAACATATATTTACAATGAAACCAACTCAAAACAAGTGATTGGATTAATTGATTGATTGACTTGATTGATTTGATTGATTGATTGATTGATTGATTGATTGATTGATTGATTGATTGATTGATTGATTGATTGATTGAATTAAGTCACACTAACCCTGACCCTCACACAGGTCAGATCGATGTCGACTTTCCAGCGAAATCGGAATTGAGTGTACTGTCTAACAATCATGCTAATTATCAATAAATTCAGATTTTGGACATGATTGTATAAGTTTGATTTCACTATCACAGTAAACGTCATGTTGCAACTTTCTTGCATATCTGGTGTAGCAAAACTCAGAGACAAGGAAACAGCGACCTACCGTTCTCTAGGTGTACTCCTGTGAACAATAAAAGTCACTGATAAGGTAAGGATTAAACTGTAGGTGGGGACATGAGGGCTTTAGTAGTGATCTCAACCTTGAAGAACTCTTCTATAAAAATATAATTCAGACAATTGATAGTAACTTGATGTAATGCTTAAAATCTTCCTTGTAAAACACGTGAATAAGGTGTGTCATAGTCTTATGGATCCGTTAACACTATTAAGGCATTTGGAAACATTAAATGTTGGAAATTAAAGCATTGCAATTAAATCTACTAGCGTTAGTATTGACCCTACACTTTTCCAGCATAGTTTGTCCCACTGTTATATTTTCTCAGCGTAAATATGTCCCAGCGTTAGTTTTTACTTTCCCAGCGTTAGTTTTTACTGTCCCAGCGTTAGAAGAGCCCAAATTTTAATACTGTTCCTGCGTTAATTTATCGCAGCGTTAGTATTGTCCTAGAGTAAATATATATGTAAGCATCAGTATTGTCGCAGTGTTAATATGTCCCTACTTTATTATTGTCCCAGCATTAATATTGTTAGTTGGAACGAACGAAAATTTCATTAGCGTAATTTCTGCAGCCATTTAAATAATGATTAAAATAGCCTAGAAATTTATCAGAATGGTATGTGCTTTTTTCAGATTATGGACAGTGTGGTGTCTCGGGGAATACGGAAATAGCACTGGGCTCACAGACTACTAACGAGGTAAGTAGAAGTAAAATAAGTCACGCAATGTGACGAATACGCCCGAAAAAGTTTCTAATTATAAGCATGCAGGTATTATTAAAAGAAAAGAGACTGAAAGTTATTGATTGCTTAATATTGTTCTTGTGAAATATGAAGTGCTATTTATAGCTAACTTAACACTTTGGGACAAGGGTCTTGAATGCGACATATTATCTTGATGTGGTAGACATTAATGCCAAGTATTTTAAAATTCTTCAATGCATGACAATGTTACAGTTTGGAAACTAATGTATACCTTCTAACTCTTCTTATGAGCAAAAATATTATCATAGTGAACTTGACATTTAAGACATTAAAGTACGCTGAGAGAACTTAAAGAAATTTGTTGGGGGATTATTCAATACAAATTGAAGCTAAAGCTATGAGTTTATAAATTTTCAATTACAATAACAGGCAAAATTATGCATTTACAGCTGATATTCATTGGATTGGGGAATATGATAAAACTTACATATTAATTTGACCTCCTTTTGGTTGAGGGGTTCCCTTTTATGTTTGAGGCATCAGAATTTGAGCCACGGCTTAATTCAGCATTATAGTCAAACGCCACTAAGTGGATTCGAATAAAGTCTATTCATCTCTTAGCTCCAGCAAGTGAAGAAGTTTTGACCACTTGTATTAGCCAATATCGTCTGAAAGTTTTCTGTTTCGGCGCCATATGACTAACATTGTGTTAGTACGCCGAAAAAACAAACAAACCAATCATAACCTTAAACTTATACCCTAGTGTAAAATTTTACACTACATATTATTGTAAGATGATCCCAAAGACTTAGTTTAAGTTCGAAGCAAACGTTTCCGTATTTTAATGATACAAAATTGAAAACAAAACTAAAATTTGGTGTAAGACTAATTCAAGTGACCTTCTTAGACAAATTCCAGGCGCAAACTAACTCTAAAACCAAATTATAACAGCTCCAGTATATGTTACAGCGTAAATCTTTTCTCTTAGCAGAGAAATAAACAGTCACACACAGTAAGGTCGCTGAACTCTACAGGAAGTACTAAAAGCCTAAGGGAAACACAATCGGAAACCGTTATCAATACAAGTTAGTCCATAACACGCTCCAGACATATAACTCCATGTCATGTCTTGATGGCGTAAGAAATATTTCATGTGATGTTATCATGGCTTTGTAACCAAGTTTGGCATGACAGAGGACTTGAGACATTTGAAAGCGTCTTGACCTGAAAAAACTTTCACTCTAAATAAAAATAAATGTGAGTTACTTGAGCGTGAATTTTAATTCTTTGAGTACATGTTCAGTGGAAATGGAATGACAGAAGACCCTAGAAAAAAATGAAACGATTTAATATTTTTAAGACATAATCTCTGAACTGTTGCAGAGATCAGAAGTTTCCTAGCGATGACGAATGGAGTGTCACGCTTTATACCAAATAACAGCACTATAGCAGAGTCAATGCGTTACACCAATCATGCGCCGCCACACGGTGAACGTTAATTTAATGCGACGTCACAATAAAGTTGCACTCGATGCAAAGTTGGTGGCGGTTGATGCACTGACTGTCTATCGACCTATTCCAGTCCTCGCCTTACTGACCGACAAGGTTGTTGGTAGCAATTCGAATTTCTGCAAGCGCCTGAAAACGATACCCCTTCAGTTGAGTCTTTATGGTGTGGAACAGCGCAAAATCAAATGGCGCAAGATGGAGCAATTATGGTAGATGCGACAGAAGATTCAATCCGAGAAGGTTTTTTTAAGCTTGGTGCAGTCAGCTGTGTGCGGGGTTTCATTGTCCTGATGCAATATCCAATTCTCTATCGGAATATCTTGACGCTTTTCCTTAAATGCGCGGAAAGCTCTCGCCGCAACATCTGAAGGCATGCAATGATTTTCTACTGGTGATATTTCAAAGAAATACACTTTTGAAAAAAAAAGTATATTTCTAAAATGATTCAATAATGGCGGAATTATAAATATCTTTGAGTAGTAATCAGCGTTTACAGTTGTATTGGATGGTACAGAATGCTGTAAGATCATGTCATGGTGGTCGCAACACATGATGAATATGTATCGTTTACCTGACCGCTGAACACGAACTTTTTATATTATCGATAGAATTGTGAGACTCTATAAATTAGATCATTCCTAGAACTGCGAAAATGCTTTTACTGAAATAACCCAGATTAAGTATTTCTAGATTAATTACTGATGCATACTGTCGGCATATAAATAACGTACTAACCTGGATCGTATAAACACAGCCACGTTTCACCAGTTAAAATCCTATCTAGAAACATGTCTCCCTCTCAAGCGTGCCCGTGACTCGTGCCTCTGCGTTTGTGTCTTTAGGTGTCTGGTATCCATCTATCGTGAATCTAAATAATTAACATTAAGTGATCTTCTTGTCAAAAATTAATTTGATTCTGTTAGGTACATATAAATCACGCTTTCCAACATATGAAAAAAAGCCTTATTCCGTAGGTTGAAATCCTTTACCGGCATAAAATCAATTATGATGATATTCGATACATATTTGTTTAAAACTATTATAAAATCGATTTTACATGCACATGAGTATTAACGCAATTCTACATTTGACATCTTTAATTAGGAACTCCGCGAACTAAGGCAAACTAAACATTTCCGCCAGCTCTAGGACGGTCAGACGTCGGTCATCTGCCAAGGCACTCTGGATTCACGTAATCACGGACCGTTTTTAGACTTTATTCCTCTTCCACGGTCATCTTCTACTTTTTCTCTACCGGTTGTTAATTGTTTGTGCCATTTAAATACCAGTATACGACTAACGGAAATTGTATGTTTAATTTGTTAATTTCTAGTTTCAACTATTTGGCTTTTTCTATTTTTGGTGTTCCAATATTCCAACTTGAATAATGTTGAATCACCCTTAGGACATGTTGTCTGTATTTTTAATTTTGTCTTTTGACGTCTTGTCTGTGAAATGCAGGCTTCATAACCTCTGATTCTCTTCAAAATTTCATTTGTGTAGTTCCGCCCATTGATTTCTCGTTTAGGGCACACGCTTTCTATTACTTTGGGACCATATGCCGCTTTTCATGGAATGGCAGTGAAGTGTCACATTGAAGGTTCCATGAGTACCGCCGTATGAACACATCTGCGGATGATTCCAAATTCAAATTTTTGTTATTTCATCTTAAATGTTGAATTCTGCTTAAGTCGGCGGTAGTGTGTGTGGACGGTTGTTTGCACTTGACAGTACCGCCCATGAACAGGCTCAATCAAACCGAGCATGAACCATTTTCAACTTTGCCGTTTTGGACATTCTTTAGGGGTTCTTATTGTAGTATGTTTACCATACTGTTATCTTAGAACAAACTATAGCTAGTCTATACTTGTAACCTGGCTGGAATTATCCGTCAGTCGTTGACCAGCTACACTTGTAGTAAGATCACTTGATCATATCATTATATTACTAGTCTTGTAAATAAACTGTATATATATGTAAAAAAATCGCTGACCGGTATATTCTTACCGCACAGTTATCCAAAAACTGAGAGTACATATGTCGCGTTATGGTATATGCGATGTATTAATCAGTGACAATGGACCTCAATTTTCCTCGCAAGAATTTGAAGATTTCACGCGCGAGTGGAAATTTGAGCATAAAACATCTTCTCCATATTTTCCAAGATCAAATGGTATGGCAGAGAAAGCTGTTTCAATTGCTAAAAGGTTACTTACTAAAGCAAAAGAAAGTGGTCACAACCCGTATACAGCTTTGCTTGACCCCTCGACTGTGGTGTGTTTACACCAGCGCAGTTACTTATGGGTCGTAGAACTAAGTCAATTCTCCCAATCACACCCACACTGTTACAACCTAAAACCATATCTTCTTCCCTCGTCATAAAAAATAACGATAGGTCAAAGCTTACGCAAAAGAAAAATCACGACAAAAACGCCAAGCCCCTATGCCCCCTTTATGTAAATGACTCCGTTAGAATTCGTTCAGGAAAAAATTGGGAACCAGCCAAAATCATCAACAAACATGATGAAAGGTCATATTCTGTTGTTACACAAGACGGAACTGTATATCGTCGTAACAGGCAACATCTTTTGAAAACAGAAGAAAATTTCTCTCACTTTGACCCCATGCAACTCAATATTTTTGCTGATCCTGTTATAAGTAAAGAGCAAACATGAGATCAGATTAACCGCAATACTGAAGGCCCTTATATAACACGGTCAGGGAGAGTGGTGAAAAGCAATCAGCGCTATTCAAGTAGTCAGTGAGTGAAATAAACATCATAAACAGATCATTTTTACTTTCACACCACTTGTTGTACTCTAATCAAAACAAATTATTATTTTGATATGTACTATAAATTTTTCAGATTTTATTCATTTCTTACATACAATGTTACATCTATATACATGTATTTAATTTATCATAGATCAATAGAAGTAAAGTTAATTTTTTACATTATTAAATGTTAGATCTACATTTCAATTCCACAGGGGGCATGGCCTTGGCTAGGTTGGGTGAGTGTTTTAGATGACAAAAACATGCCACATACATGTGGGGGTGCCGTAGTTTGTGACCGGTGGTTTCTCACAACTGCTAGCTGTGTGTCAAGAAAAATAGATGACCAAGTGGTTCCGTATAATGCGTCAAGGGTTTGTACATATATTAAGTGATTTTGTTTAATCAAAGAATTAGGCTAAACGCTTTCGACTAAGACCAACAAAATAAAATGAAAACTTAATGAACATGAAAACTTAACATAAAACGTACATAATTAATAACAAAAATCAATACGAACATGCCAGAGATAACACCAGAAAGTATTAGAAATTGTAAATTTCTCTCTATTACCTTTTAACTAGATAAAAATACATATTTACTACCTTTGCTAAATAGATAAAAATAAAATGTGCCGGTTACCATTGGTAACTTGACACAAACATGTGCTTGAATGCATGGGTTATCTTTGTAACATTATCAATGGGCTTGAATATGTTGTAAAATTTATTGTCTCGCAATGTGATGTTTTTATATTTCCTTCACAAATGCGTTTCTTTTAAATTGTCTTTTCTTCTTACAGATGAATGTTTATCTGAGTGATTACGACATATTCAAAAAGGACACAAATGAGATTTGGCCAATCGTTCACGATGTTATGATTCATGACAATTATACGGGAGAAGAAATAGGAAACCTTGGTATTCATGCTAACGATGTAGCCTTGCTGGATTTCGGACAGAATGAAACTGAGAGACCAGTCTTAGACAAATATTTGCGGCCAATTTGTATCGCAACAGGTATTTAAAACCCCAGTCACAATAGAGCTTACGATTACTTGCAACTACCGGCGACGTGTAAAACCGATGATCATATTGCCTGCGACCAAGCCCTCTTTGAACAGATAAATTTACTTCTGCAATTATAGTAGGACCAATCATCATTGACAATCGCACGACAGGTCATCAGCAAACGTACGATGTTCTCAAGATTGCCTGGGATTACTTACGACTACCCGTGACCTGTCATGCGATCACCTACAACTTGTCGTACGACCATCACACGATTACTAAAGACTACTCAAGATTATCAGTGACTAGTGGCAATTTGTAAAGACTGTCGTAAGATTGTCGCACTTTCGAGCGACGATCGTGCGACAGCCTAAGACCTTATAAGATCACTAGCAACCTGTTTGATCGCAGAGAGGTTTTTGTGCAAGCTCAAAAACCTCTCTACGACTGAAATTGGTCGTGGGACCTAAATAAGATAACCTGCGACTATCGAAGATCACCGATGACCGTCGTAAGACGTTTTAAAGATTGTCCGCGACCAGTGGTCACTGGTGATCGTGAACTGGTCTTTACTGGTCGTAAACTCTAATGTGACTGGGGCTTTACCTACACAGCAAATAAACTTCATGATGCCAGGGTGATCGTTACGGATGTTAAAATTTACATAAGCTATCGGATTTTTTTTGTTTTTTGGTTTTTGTTTATTGAAATTTTAAATAAACACGCAATGTTTTTGAAGAAGGTTTTGTTTGAAGATAACATATACTGGTGAAAAATATTACCTACTAAGTGAATTTATAGAACATGTAAGACATATGAAAATATCACTGTCATTTTTAGCTCGATGTTTTCTTTTCCCGAACAATACTGGATAGATCTTAAAATTAACCAGACAGACCTTGACCTTCACTCAAAGGGAGCTTGACCTTGAATACCAAATTTTATTGTTTAGTTATTTGTTCTTAGTAATTAGTAAATGGATTATCTTTATAATTGTACAAAACATGTTTTGCAAGGTGATATAATAGGTTGAATTGACCTTAACCTTAAAATGACCTTTACCATCAATGTCAAATAATTAAATTCTGTTGTCACTATTTCGCTACGTTTGTACACTTTGACAAAACAAGACTTGCGACCAAACATACTTATTGGATAATTTGGATGTGTCCTTGACCTTTAAGTGACCTTGACTTTAAAGGTCAATTAAATAAAATTCTCTTGGTTTTTTCCTATAACTGGCTAATCTGTTGCATCTATAAATGAAATAACTTTTAAAATTAAACACAACATTCTTTAAGTTCAAGTTGTCATACTTTGTTGTTTAAGAACGGAATTAATTCATACCTGGACAGACCAGACAGACATGTTGAATCATTTAAACATAACATTGACCTGTAAAAGAAGTGAACCGTCAGGGTTTTGCTTATATTCTTATTCATGTTTTCTTAACTGTGTCATTTGTTTATGGAATGATTCATACTTGTACAAAACAGCGAGTGTGACTGAACCGACCTTTTAAAAAAAGGAAACCATTTTCTTAAATTTGCTTTTTGAAAGATCTGTATTAAGCTTTCATTTGTTTGCTTTTAGAAAAAGTCATAAAAGACGAGCGTTGCCCGCTCGGCGATGGCTCTTGTTTTGAAATGAATACCGGTGCTAGGGGGAGGGGGTCGACGCTTGGGGTTGGGTCTTTGAAAGACGCTGAAATTACCATAACCTCTAATACACCTGAGTCCACAATTTTCAAATACATGTTTTTCATTTGTTTATGTTTCATTGATCAAGAAAAAATTGACATTGTCTATACATGTAACACTGTAAGTTCTTTATTTTAAGATAATGAGTCTCTTAGTGATGCAGATACGAACTTCAAAATGTTACTCTCGTTCCCGAATAAAAAAGACGCATTCACCGCCGGGTGGGGTAATGCACCAGATAACATATATCATACAAGTCTACTGCATTCAAAGATGATGCAGAATCAGAGGCCAGTTATGAAACCGAAGTATTGCGAGAGGAGGTATGAGAATATTGACTTGGATCGCTTTTTCTGTGTTGGTGAGGAGTTTGAAGGAAGGTTTGTTTTTTGTTTTTTATTTTCTTTTTTTTTCATTTTTATAAAAGTTCTTTAATGTTATTACAAAATTCCAATATACAATTAAGTGTTCAATTGACATTCAATTAGCATTAAAAGTAAAGGAACTGAAAAAGTTGAGCATTAAAAGTAAAGGAACTGAAAAAGTTGAGCACTAAAAGAAAGTACATTAATTTTTACATCTAATAATCAACATCATAAATCAATTGATTTCATTGTATACAAGGGTAAAACATTCACAATCTTAGATGCTTAAATTGAAATCTTAAAAGTTTGAATAGTATTACAGAAAGAGGTATTATCTCTATCATGTCTTTTCAGTGACTCGTGCATGGGTGATATTGGGGGTCCATACATGATACAGTTGTCCAACAAGAGGTTCTACAGCCTAGGTCTAGCACTTAAGACCCGCGGTTGCAGAAAGAGGAACAACTATAGTATTTTCCTTAACATTCTACACCCAACAGTCAATGGCTGGATAAATCATGTATTAGATGGGTGCAACAGGGTCAAGAACAAAGACACTTAGACTCTTTTTCAGCCAACAGATTTTTATAGAGATAAAAATCATTTTCTTATTATGTATACTCGTATATTGTTTATTGAACATTTGTCTGAAACAATGTAATTCTGCATTCATCAATAAACTTCTTTAAATATTTTGTTTTGTATTCTGGAATTTTAGACACATCTCTTGTTTAACAATGAGAAGCAGAGCAACGATCGAAGAAAAATCGCAAGACATTTCCTTCAAGTTTAACTTCTGAACAACTAAAACCCCTAAGGCAATGGGCATTTCCATTGTGAACAGTTATATGCAAATTGACTAACCTAACTGGCTATGCAGCAGCTAAACGTCATTCATATTTTGCTCTTATTATGTCATAGAACACATGGTTGTGCGATTAACAATAGAAATCGCAAGGCTAAAGTCTGCACTGCTTAAAACTGTAAAAGGTCAATTGTGATGAAACAAAATAGGAACAATCCTTGTCCTTAACATTTTAAATACCAGTAACTTGGCAGATTTAAAATGAGATCACCTGGTATAATACTATTGAACATCTTTACTAAAGTAGCTTAATTGAACCGGGCTGCTGAACAAAATGGCCACGAGAACCAAAATGAACATGTTGCAAGCGTCTTTCTGACCTTTCGAAACTTCACATTGATCCTTGAGTGGTGAAAACAAAACAAGATGGCCGTATGGTCCTTATATCCCACATGAGGGGCCTCCGTGGCCGAGTGGTTAAGGTCGAACTTTCATTGAGATCACAGTCCTCACGCTGTATCGATCTCACTCGGTCGGAATCTTTCATGTGAGAGCCATCAGCTGGCGTATCGGAGGATCGGTGGTTCTACCAGGTCCCCATTAGGCTGAAAAAGCCGAGGGGCCTGGATCTCAAAATTAGGACTAAAGACGAAAATCTCAGGACACTCTAGGATGGCCCGACTTGAGTGTACGGTCGCCCATATGGACTTTCCGGCGGCGACCTTAAATAAACGCATTAAAAAAATATATCCCACACCTGATTATTGAGGCTCTGAATTAATATTGCTTGCAATTAATGTAAGGCAGATATAATGCCATAAACTAGTACGATACCATGACATTCATATCTGTACATGGAAAAGTTCAATTGTTAATAACGTATTTCGGTATATTTTTTCTATAATCAATGTCATTTTTTCCAAATAGTTCAAAATAAGTAGATACAATGAATTTACTATAATCATAAAACATATAGCAACAAAAATGATAATTCATATATCACAGAAGCAAAATTAAATAATGTGGATTGAACGGTCGACCTCAGTCCCCTGGGGCGGGGCCAATTTTGACCCTAGCGGTTTTATTTCAACATAGTAGATATACACTAGAACATGTCCTACCTCTTTTGGATTGTCACAAGAAGATTTATAATAATATGTGTCAATTGTCTTTAGGAAAATGATAAACATTTATAATTTATGTGATTCTGGTTGGAGAGCTAACTCAGACACTAAGCCCCATATTTTTGAAATTATTTAATTACTTTTACCCTGAGTAATAAGTGTTATTTTTTTATAATATTTTCCTTTAGTAGCATTTACTTGTATCTAATTTATCGCTTTCCGACGATAGTGCGTATTTCTTTTTTTAAATACACATAGCATATTGTCACATTAGATCTAGAGTTACGCATTTTTTTCCTTGATAAATACTGTCTAAGGATGCGGTTAAATAGTTTTACAAATCACTGATGAGGTTACATTTATTAAGACTAATTTGAATCCTTACTTCAGAAATCTGCACTTTGATGACGTACAAGATAAAGTCTCGGGGATTTTTTTTTACTTATCGTATATTGAAAAATACGGAATTCCATATTTCAGTCATAATTATACGGAGTTATCAATGAAAGATCGTATTTGAGTGAAATATGGACTTCTTAAAACAAGTTTTCCGTATATAAGTAGTGTACGGATTTCCGTATACATGTTTTTCACATACACGGAATTTATAAGAATACGTTCCCGTACATCCCCGTATTTTAGGTTTCCCGTATTTTTGCCCGTATATTGACAATATACGAAATCCCGTATATTCCCGTATATCAAAATGTTTTCCGCAGTGATAATTATGAGAAGAAGATCGTTTAAAATTGCACTTTAAAAGTATATTTTTAACTTTTGTGACCTACTAATGCATCAGATTGTCACCATTTACAAAACTTTTGCAAAGGTTGACAAGGTAATGCTACGTGCCAGATATCTAGGAACTGGACATTTCTATATACTATATATTTCTATATAGAGTAAGTGACCTCAGGGCAATGATCCAAAAGGACCAAAACAAATTATCAACACTGAAGTGAAGGATGGGGCAAGTTTAAAAGCTGCCACCTGCCACAGAAAAGTGTGATCTGCATTTTTGCTTTATTGCTTTGAAAAATCCGTCTTTCAGACGTTTTATACAATATCTATGTAAGTAGATATTTTGATTTTCATAGACTGCTTTGCATACATTTAACTGTATTAACAAGAGCTCCGCTGAGGCGGTGCAATATACGCCCGAAGGTAAATTTTTGTAGCAGGCCACAATAGAAAGAAAATATCAACAGCAGATTATCAATCTTATTAATGAAAATCTCAAAGAGAATTGCTTTAAATAAAGGTGAGAGGAAATATCAGTATGCAAAATGATTTTTAAGTATACAAATGAAAATAATAGTAACAGAAGATAATGGAACATATGCAGCAGTACTGTCTTAGCTTATCTGTTGCTCTGTTATCTAGGAACATGTTTAAATGCCGCAGATAGTCAGGATGTGTTTGGTTTTAATTAGTGTGTGGCTCAAAAATGGCTCTAATCAAAGGCTTCTTATGTCACATATCTGGTTTTAATAAAATTGATCTACATTTTCTTTGGACAATACAAATATATCCACAAATACGGCAACGGTATTTAATTCAATAAAGTAGAAAATACTATATACAGTGTGCTGTTTCATTTAAGTATTGACTTATTAATCTCTAAATAAGGTATCATACATACCCTCTGCTGTATAATTAAATATAAGAGATAGTATATGTAAATAATAAGTCATTATTTATAGATAATAGGTAATAAGAAATACACTTTAGATAATAAATGTCCCTCCAGGGCTTCCGCAGAACCGCTGCCTGTAATATAATTAATTGTTGACCTGTCAAAAAGCTCTAGCCCTATAGCTATACTATAAATCATAATTCGATCCAGTCATACATTTTGTCTCATTTCCATTTTGGAGTCCATGAAAACGTATCTAATCTTTATTGTATCCATCATATTCCGATACCAAAATTCCATATCAAATCGATGCTGTATTCCATCTAGTCTCGTTTTTATTATATCTGAGTCCAAAGAATTCATATTGTATACTAATTGAAAAGTGACTTTACTTTTCATATAAATAAATGCAAAACGTACTTTGAATGATAATTTTAACTGTGTTGAATTTGAATTCAGTAATTAAATCAAATAGATAATAACTCATGTTCTTTTCTAAATTTGAAAACGCTATTGAAGCGTAACTGATGTATTTTTGCTGGTTTTTGTTATGATTGTCACAATAAATCACTATAAGCCATTAAACTCGTGGTTGTTTTCTTTTTTGTTTGCTGGTTTTTGTTTTGTTTTTGTTATAACTTTTTACAACAACAGCACTGAATCACAACTTTCAACCTTTTAAAAAAAATTCAGCTGTTAATTTTATTCTTTGTAATGAAATTAATAATATATATTTGATGAAATCGACATAATATTACAGTCGTGCGTTTTCCCAGTCATTCCGTATATGTATGTATATGTGCCTGTTGCTTAATTTGTTTACACAAACTTATAAATTTTTAAAATTTGGAACTGAGTCTCGGGAGTTTTAACTCTAGTCGGTATTTTGACAGGTTATTAAATGCTGAAGCTATTAGCCTATAATATGCCTCAGCGGGCCTTTGATCAGAAAACATCTACACTTACTCGATCATGAATCGGTGATTTTTAATATGCATGACTGCCTTGACATATGACAAATACCAATACTAAAGTATCTCTTTCCTCAAAGAAAAATATATGTTAATAATTTTTTTCCGCCGAAACGTTTATTGTATCGAATTATATTTGGACGAAACGTAATGAACGGAATAATTTTTGGTCCGTCTGAACTACTCCGCGAAACAACAAAAACAACAACAACACCTGTAAATTGTAAAATTAACATTCCGCTCTCTTTGCCTACATGGCAGATGTAAGTTCACCACCACCTTACAAGAAAGGTAGACTTGAAATACGCAAAACCATGCGTCCATATTTTCAGCGAGTTCATAAGCAACTTATTAAACACACAGGGGGCCCACACAGTGTTTGGATGGTATATACTGCTTGATAGTGACCTTAAAATGAGATTTTAGTCATAACCTTATAATATGTATATAAATATAGACTATATTTATATACATATTATAAGGTTATGACTAAAATCTCATTTTAAGGTCACTATCAAGCAGTATATACCATCCAAACACTGTGTGGGCCCCCTGTGATTAAACATAAAGATGTTCTTTACAAAGCTTTGGAACATTTGAACTCTGACTGGGCATCATTTTGTTTTCTCAAAATTGTAAATTGCAATGCTGATGAATCATGCAATTCTCAAGCCTATTGCAAGACTGTTAGGAATATTCAGGAAGCGGATGTTGATAAGCGTGGTGTTGTATGGATACCAGATTTATTCAATATAACTTTAGTACAAATGTTTCTTAACATAACTGGATCCATTGAGGACCATATCACTGATACACAGTTGACAGCTTTGAAAAAACTTGCATCATTTTTGGACACCATTTCAGGTGAAGACTTGAAATTATTTAATATACTGTACTGGTAGATCTACTGACTAATCTCAATATTTTGACTTCACACATCAACCGCTTTTATAAAATTATTATTAAATAGTTGTCGGTCTTTACAAAGGCAAAGGATGGCCATTGTTTCTGAAATAAAAAGAGCTCAGGGGCTGGCACATTATTTTCTAATAATTTGTTCTCACTGGTTTTATTTTTACTACTTATATTTAAAAAATCATCTAAAATTAGGGTGCTTGGATGGCAGGCATTTTTTATATTTAACCTTTAGTCTGTAAGCAGCAACTCAATAGTACTCATGTGACAAGTACATGTACAGACCAAGATCAGACAGCACATTGATGGCATGCCATTAGTTTATCTCATGATCATCATGATTTGCACTGTTTACTCTTCAGTCAGTAAATATTTGTATATATTATTATAAGTATTGAATGGTTTTGTCCAGATTTAAGAAAATTAGCATAGTAAGATTTAACAAAATATGTGTAAGAGCTTCTTTTTTATACTTTTCAGATACAAACAAAATTTTGAAAGAACAGTTGACAGATTCATCCATAAAAGACAATCAATTAGCAAACGTATTAGGAACTCATTTATTGAAAAAGCTTGATGAAAATAGATTCTGGCTATTTAGACAATTCTGAAGATATGCAGTGTCCTTGTGGATGTAAAACTTATATCAAAGTTGGCGACAATAGCATGGGTAATGATTTGTTCTTACTTGTTTATTATAATTATCTATTATTGTATCATAGTTTGGGGACCTTTCTGTTGAAAATGTGTCAGAGTTAAATCGTATACATATACATGCACAGTGCGTTAACTGGAGTGCAGGTATTAGTTACCTGCACTCCAGAGCATGCCCATTGATTGGCACATTTTTGCTGGGGTTTACATATTGTGAAGGCAGAGAAAGGGAAAGCGACAGAAATATCATATTCAGATGTTCGTTCATTGGTTCCTTTTTGCCGGGGTTTCATATTTTGACAACAGGGAACGTGTTTTTATGTTTGACTATGATACAAAAGAGAAAGAACATCAAAACACTCAGCAATCTGATTAATAATACTCGCCCCCTTGTACAAATCAGATAGCCTCATGCTCTTTCTATTACTTAATCTATGTTTGTCTGTTATCACATGTCTACAGTGCCTATAGGAAGCTACGTACGCCACTGGATTGTGAACACTCAATCATTCATAGTCATTGGTTCTTTATAATGATACCTTGCTTGAGTTCTGAATTTTATCATGAGGTATTTAAAACAAAATTTATCATTCATTATAGGTAAAATCAAAAAATAACTTGAGGGGATTACCAGAGTGAGCTTTTGTGATCACTTGATGAATGTCATTATCCACAGTTTATACACCATCTCCTCCTGAACTACTGAAATAATGGGAAATGATATATGTCTTTTAAAAAATTATATATGAATGGTTCCAGAAATTTATCATTGATCTCAGCCCCGGTTCTACTAAGCAAGAGATAAACCTGCATATTAATTCACATGTTCACATTTTTACAATAGTTTTTCATACAAGATCGGATGTTTAAAACTGATTTATGTTATCTTGTTATTAATAGGTCATGAAGAGGTTTGGCATGGCAGTGTAGACATACTAGTAGGTCCTGTAGCAGTCACTGTTACTAAATCAAGCATTGATGAAGGAAATTCAGAACTTGAAGGAAAAGGTGACTCAGCATTTGATCTTGAAATTTATAAACTGGAGGAATTACGGCATCAGTTGATACCAGAAAGTATTATATTTTCATTTGCAATGCATTGTGGACTTGTTCCTATAGTTGGACTATCACAAGAATACTTTAAAATATTTATGTATGAGCCCAATGAAGATTTACTTTATGAGTCAACTGAGTTTCCATTATTTGTTGAACCTATGTCTATTGAAGGGAGACAACTTCATATTTCATCTGTAGTTGCTTTATGGATGGTAATTAATTATGACTGTTTCTGTACGGGTGTAAAAACATCTCATGTTGAGTTTGGATACAAAGCTAATTTTAAGAAGTTTCTTGGAGAAAAACAGCGTGAAATTTATGAACATCATATAAAGATTGGTGGTTTAAAGAATATTGAAAGTGATGTCAGTGAATATAAAGCTGGAGGGAACTGTGGAAAATTTAAACGAATCGAAGAATTGTTAGCTTAGGTAAAATGATAAAAGTGAAGGACATTAAATGTAGCTCTATTGTTCAAGGTCAGAGCAATTGCAAATGAATTAGTGTCATGTTGCCAATACCCAGTCCCAATACACAAAGCTATATAAACGTCTAGGTGCATGCTTACCATTATTTTGATTTTTGTCAAATTTGCTAAATTTTGTCCAACATGCAGTCAAAAAAATTTCTACATACTCTTCAAAAAGGAGACAGAATAATTTTTGTTCATTTCAAACAAGCATAATTAATATTTTAATGATTTCCCATTTGAAAAATTTACAAGTTACTTGTTTCTAATTATTGCTTTTGTTGATTGAAAAATTTACATGGCATAGCTAAAAGATATAGGTTGACTATTAAAAGTAGGGTTATCCTTTTCTCCTGAGCCTGAGTGTAACATTTTGGTTAAAGCTACACTAAATAAAAATGTAACAATATTTTGCCGTCGGCCTAAAAACAAAGCATTCTACAGTTTCATGAACCTTTTTAACAGTATTGTTGTAAATCTCATCAAATATTGTCCATAAATAAGGATTTTAAACTGAAAACCCCACGGTAACACTAAAGTTCGTATACGAATTTTAACATGCAAATGAAGATTATAATCAGCTTGTGTATGCGCTACGTCACAGTGTTATAACTGATATCTGGAACACAACAGATATGAGATTTTCTTGTGCAAACATATTTTAATTGTTTAACTTCACGAGGTTCAGTAAAAAGTAATCATCTCATAAAAAAAGATTAAAATTGTATAAAAACGTCCGTTACAATGCGGAAATATACCGTTAAAGTAGGACGGCTACTAATAGTCATGTTTGTTGATTTAATATTGATGTACGGATGATCAGAAGGCGGAGTTTCTCATGCAAACAGATATTGTTCTTCCGATTTCGCCACAATGAGGTTGTCCTTTTTTATGCTTATAAAACTCATTTTGGTTGTCTGGACACCAAAATAAGATCTGGAGTCGATATGAAACCCACTTTATTAATGAAATGTCGCTATATCTGTTTTTATGAAATTTATTTAATGTAACTTTAAAGTTTTATAAAAATTAGGTGCAACTTCTTGTACATCTTGATAACACATCAACCACTATAACCTTCAAGGTATGTGAACCAACTACTTGATGTTTCTTTGGAAACTTAATGCGTGTCTTCAGAATAATAATTGGAGGTCGCTGTCAAAGGTCTGTAACACTAACATGTGTTTTGATTGCATTTTGGAGTAACAAAATTCATGTGTCAGTATCCAAAACTGGTAACTGGGTGTCATTTTTGTTTCCATCTTTTTTTTGTATGAAATCGTCTCTTTGTTAAATTCTACATTATCCAGACTCTTGTTTCATTATCAAGCATTGAGAATGTTGAGCATGCTATCTGACAGCTCTTGTTTATTTTACTAAGTATATTATTCTCTGTTCCACATACAAAGATTTTTTTTCAAACTTGACACAAGACATGAATATTATTATAATTGAATATTTGTATCTCATAAGAATGTTATAAATCATTTTGTTCCTTTCATTGTAAGAGTATAAAGGTGATAGAAATATTTTCTATGAATAATTTGAGTGTAGGACAAAAGCCCCCCCCCCCCCCCCGGAGGAAAGCCCCCCCAACTAAAAATGACAAGGTGGACAAAAGCCCCCCCATGAAATTTACACATAGGACAAAAGCCCCCCCCCCCATAAAAAAAGTAACGGTAGGACAAAAGCCCCCCCCCCATGGTCCATCAAATTTACATGTAGTGTAAATGAATTAATAAAAATGAAAAGAATTTGTTTTGATGTTTATTTATAATGTATATATTGAAGTGTTAACAAAGTATATGATAACAGATGAAATAATGCATGCATGCGATACCGAATTCATTGCTTTTCATATACACAACAAGGGTCAGAATAATAATGTTTAATCACTTTTGTAAAGGGATCAAATTAACATCCTTAGCACTATGTCACCTACATGTGATGTCCATACATATCTTTTAAACACATTAAAAACACAACTTTAAAACACTATATGTAAATTTGATTGAAAATGTGGGGTGGGGGGCTTTTGTCCTACCTTTACTTTCTTATGGGGGGCTTTTGTCCTATGTGTAAATTTCATGGGGGGGCTTTTGTCCACTTTGTCATTTTTAGATGGGGGGCTTTCGTCCGGGGGGCTTTTGTCCGTATCCCGAATAATTTATATTTATGCCCCCATTCAAAGATGGGCGCATAGTATATGTACATTGTACATGTTTCTGTAATTGCCTTATCAGTACATCCAAAATTGTGTATGAATTATTTCTTGGGATTTTCTGTTAACTTGTCAAAAAATGCCCATCATGTTTTATTCTTTGCATAAATCATCTTTGAATCTGTGTCACATAGGTGCATATATTGAAACTATTAAATACAAATGCTCACAATCACAAGCTAGAACCAGGTCCCTATCTGAATGTTTAAGGTCAAACACAGAGGTCAAAGACCAAAGATGAAGTCTAGTTAGGTGTCTGGTCTAAATCTAACACAGATTCATTTCTATTGTCAATCATATTCTTCAGGGCTATATGCTACCTTTTTTGGAATGTCATGTTTACATTAATTGCCAGAAACACATAACACAGTTTGTCATAGGGCAGGACATTTTTATTAATTTGCCTTGTATATTATGAATGCCAAATGACATATCCATTTGTACTACATATTTCAGTATCAAAAATCTATGCAGCAAGAAGATAATAAAATATTAATTACATACATTTTTTCTTAATTTTGTATCTTATTCAAAATCATATAAAGTGAAATAATCTTTCTTTTTTTCAAATATTTCTGTAGGAGACTATTAAAGGAATTTTAGATATATCATACTAACTACAATGTATATACATTTTAAACACTTTTGTCAGTCCTTGCAATTTTATTCTTATATTTGTAAGTTACTAGTACGACATTTCTACCCCCAAAACACAACAATATGTTCTTTTGTCCAATTCCTTTTAATGGTATAGGTGTCATCTTATAATATATTAAATTATATTAATTACATGACATAAGTAAATGTTAATCACATTTTTGTAAAATTATATACAAATGTACATGGTTTTAGTCTGATACAGAAGTAGATCAAAGGAGCTAAAATTAGACTTACAGAATGAAATCCTTAGAAACTTCAGAAGCAACTATGTCAAGAACGAAGATATTTGGCATGAAGTAACTTGAAACTTTTTAAATTTTGAACTTAAAATTTTAAAAATCTGTATAAAAGATTACCATTCCCTAGGGGTCACTTAGTAAACATAGACATGTATAGAAAATGACATTTAAATCTGCTTGTGTGAAACTACAGTACCCATCGCTTAGAAACCTAACAAATAGCAGCATCTTAATCTTTTGTGCATCCACTAAAGTTATTAGATAATTCCCATGAGACCAAATTCTGCCCTGACGCTGGTATAAATCATGCTCATGTCATCATGGGATTTACATAGACTTGTATCTTCTTCTCTGAAAGTGCATTATCTTGAACTTACATGTAGTATTAAGTTCCTTACCAGGGTCAAAGTTGGGTCCTTCCCATGAGGTTATTTACAGAAAAAAAATAACCGGCTTCTCTGAAACAACAGGACAGTGTCTATTGGACTTCTATAAATGATGTGTCAATCATATGCCTGGGTAAAAATATGCCCTGTCGTGAAGTCAAATCAGTTGTGAAGTCAAATCAGTTATTCCGCCTAAATTTAATAGGAAACGTTGATACTTGGCATGTAGCATAGCTCAGTGAAACTCTACTTATGTGTATTATGAAATATAGCCGGAATAAAAGAAATGAGTTCCAATGACCTGCTTTTGTATTGAAGAATTGCGACCTTGTCAAGCAATGGGTCTCGTATATCTCGCTTTCATCGTGGTCCTCTTATTTGATATCGATATTGGTACTTTGACAGTAATTCTGGTTTCTAGGCAATCTAAATGCCTTTTGTTTGTCTAAGCAGAGGCACAGTGGCAATTATACCCTGGAGTTTCACTAAGCCGTAAGTCAGAAGAGTTATACATTTCTCAATACACAGAGAACGTGTCGACTTAACAAAATGGTGTGTTCAGGAGAATATTTTTTTAGCATTTTGACTACAAATATACACATAATTTATAAATTTCTGTAATGATAACGTCGATGTCAAATAATGTTCTGTGCTACGTCCCAGATACATTTCAAAGAAAGCATTATTGCCCTTATCTGGTACAATTTTGCAACTGGGTTTAGTAAATCATTTTTCATAAATTTGTCTTCCGGCAAACAACAGTCCCGAAATGAAACAGAACCCTGATGCTGTAAGGGAAATCACCCATCCTGCATGGATATCTCGTGGTTGGTTGCCTGGTGTATCGACGTATTTATCTGCATAGGTCACGGTTGCTACCCAGCCAAGCAATCCTGTAAAATAAAACAATATTGAAGACACAACGCAGCTTCAAGTTTGAAAGTCAGTTAAGTTTTTTTGTGAAGTTATATTTACAGTATAAATCGATAACCAATAAACAATACTAAACAGTATGAAACTAATTCAGCGATATAATTATACAGTCAATCACCGATGAAATGCACTCCATATAGGTGTTTGTTTCTTTGCTTGCTTGTGTGTGTGCCTGCGTTAAAGTTTATTTACTGGTAGATGCAGATTTTAATTCATATGCCAGCGGTAGAACCGACCTTTTGTAAGTTAGCGCCATTTAAAGCCACAGCGAAGAACGATTAGAAGTCCCATAGCAACATAAGAGATCCCTGCGTTAAGGTGTAAGCTAACGAGGTAGCACAGAGCCATATTTGTTATAAAAATCTCTGGAGGTAGTAAGGAGATTTGTACAGATTTGCTTCCAGATCATGATATTAAATTAATCTTAAAGAAAGACAATAATTTGAAAAAACGCTTCTGTTTATACTTTTCAAAACTGGGATTAAACAAGGTCTAAATATTTTGACGTGCGAAAGCTAGACTCAGATTTGTTTGTTTGTTGTTTTTTTCGAGGTCAAAATATCGCTTCCAGAGGTGTTATGTAGCCCATACATAGGATAGTAGTTCAATGACTTTGACAAGGGAAATATATTCATACAAAAGGACATGGACATTTAACAGGCCTTTGAGAGCACCGGACCGCTGAGAAAACCGGACAAAAGGCTCGGTCCAGTCGCCGTCTGGTTTCCCCAGCTTGCACTGTAAATTAATAACACGGAACGCAGAGACTTTGCTTTACTTTGTAAACAAATAAACAGTTATTTTACGAATGAAATAATATCGGTGCTTATAATACCGTAACAAATGGAAACTGTGTATGGTTAATGCATTAACAACGTTGAAAAATATAATTATAGACATTTGACGCAATAATTATTGATCTAGAATTGTCAGTTCTTGAATTATTCAGAAGTTTTTCAAATGTGCATCCGACTGTGATTCGTCTTAAAAGGCTTGGTGTATTGGACTAAATATCAGCAACCTTCTGTGAACGTCACTTCCCGTTATTTAATGTCACATAAATATTTAAGTTAAATATTCAGAGTTGCTAATCAAAATGTTTACTTGAAGTAGAATTTATTATTCCCGATTCCGCGATGTCTTCTCGTTTAACTATTCTCTGTGTATTATGCTTTGTTGTATGAACGCGTTAATGGAAATTTTATGAAAAATTAAAAGTCCTATTTAAGTAAAATCCAGTTTATAGATATATATATTACATGCCTACAGATGAGCCAAAATGTTTCAATAAAATCAAACTTGAGAAAACTTGAGAAAAATGTACTAAGATTTTAGGAAACGTAAAAAGATTAAAAATTCAAGTAATATTTAACATGTTATGTGCGATTAATGGCTGTTTTTCCAGTAATTATATCTATATTTCTACTGCGTTACTAAGGCAGTAAGGGCTCTTTCTGCATATTTTAATCTCTTTTTGGTGATTAACATGGGTTGCAAGTGCTATTGATAATGTGTAAATGCCTCTTTTTGGTTACTCTACAATATCATACTTTGAAATACATTCTCAAAACTTTCACGAAAATTAGCATGAATCTGGAGCCATGCCGCTTTAAAACTAAAAGTGGTTTCTGTTATACTTAGGCACTGTATTTTCAGAGGAATCATATAGAATTCGACATAATATGCGCACATCGTTCTTGCTCCATTACTGTAGTGGTTGCAATTATACTTTGTCAAGTAATTTTTGTTTTGTTTGTTTTTGGTTTAACGTCACATCGACACAGTATAGGTCATATCGCGACGTTCCAGCTTTACCGGTGGAGGAAGACCTCAGGTGCCCTTCCGTGCATTATTTCAGGCACGAACGGGTACCTGAGTAGAACCACCGACGTTCCGTAAGCTAGCTGAATAGCTTCCTCACATGAAAGAATCCAAGTACCTGTCGGGATTCGAACGAACCCACAGAGGTGAGGGGCAAGTGGTTTGAAGTCAACGACCTTAACCACTCGGTCACGGACGCCCAACTTGTAATTATTTAAATACTATCCCATTATATATTTTGCGTATCATACTTGATATAGGCATGGATTCAAAACATAATTTCAACTACTAAGCACTAAACTGTTAGTCACAATTAATTCCATTGATATGTCTCGTGACAGTTTTAATTCAATCAAACACTAACCTATACTGATAATAATGTCTATAAATCGAGCAAATATTCTTTTGCATGCGACTCAAAAATCCTTAATCCCATAAGATAATGTTTTTAATTTTCTGTTGTTGTTTTCCTCAAAATTTAGTTAATTAAAGGAGTAAAGCTTGAATAAAAAATGATTGTGTATTAACTATAAAATTGCTGAATCCATATTTCACTATATTTTTATTATTTTTACAAGTATCCATTTATTTTGGAATACCTGTTAAAAAGATATGCACTAAGAAAAGAGTTTACATTTCTTAATATGGGTAGAAATATGTTGAAGCTAGATATTTTATTGAGTTATATGCAAATAAATTTATAAATTGCCTAAATCTTTGATATATTTTTCTTTAGTTTTAACATTTGTATGCGTGCGGGTAGAAGAATACAGAACCTGAGAGGATTTGGGAACATTCTTAATGACCAATCTGATAGAAGCCTTAAATTGGCTTATTGGTCTATAGATATTGCCTCCCAGCCGAGAGATCCAGTTAAATGGGTTAAAGCGTTAGATACTAATACCAATGTTGGCTTTTCTTGTATGATACCAGGGTCTGAAGCTAGCATGAAAATGTGTAAGCTTATTTCTTAGATAAGATAAGAATGTTTATTTAATTTTACCCATGAAATATGGTGCTATATCAGTCAAATATGTTTCATATTTTTTAAAAATAAATATGAAATATAAATATGAAAGTGGGCGGAGTCAAAACTCATATTTATTTTAACGGACTTCTTTCGCCGTTTTGTTTGAAAAATCTGATAAATACAAAACAACTTTATCTTGAATTTTGTTTTGAAAACTGTCTAGAATGATAGAAAATGGTCTAACTAAGAAAATTAATCCGAACACCAATATCTTTAATTCAGTAATTAACGCTGTACAGACGTTTAAAAGAGTTGTTTTCATGACGTCACAATGTAGCGCCAAACAGCGCCTGCTTACGCATAAATTACTGCCCGCTGTACAATTGCAGTTGGTAGCAAGCACGGGGATTCGTTACCATTTTCTTTGATAATAAAATTAAATAAAAAGGTCATTTTTTCGTTTTTCGTGAAATATGGTATATATTTTCACTCAACATGATAAAATGCCACATATTTTCACTCGCCGTCCCGGCTCGTGAAAATATATGACATTTTATCATGTTTCGTGAAAATATATTCCATATTTCACGCAAACGAAAAAATATCCTCTTAGTATTCGGCCAACGAAAAAAAAATAATAAAAAAAAATAAAAAATCCGAGATTTGGGACGGAATTCAGTAAAAAAAAAAAGTTTTATAAGTTTTAACCTCGAGGCCAGACTGGGACTTGTGAGTCGAGTTATTTTACTAAAAAAATGATCAGCAGTCTAACGCTTAAATTTTGCCGTTGTGACAAATGCTTAAATAAATTTATTTCTGCTACACTAAACTAGATAAAATTATGTGTTATTCGAAAAAAAATATTTTCCTAACAAACCTGCAAAACATAAAAGGAGAGGTCCGAACACTGTAAGAAGGATCAGCTCTTGTACAAACCATCTTTGAACAACCACCGCCACCAGTCCTAGTGCATGTAGTAGCAGAGCAAATATCAAAAGACATCGTGACGTAACTATATATCCTGAAAAAGTCATCGTGACTTTAACTATATTTATCACACACCCGTGCCGATTTTGCGACTCCGTAAATATGGTATTGCACGGCCGTGCATATATTTTGACGTGACGTCATTAGCGTTATACAAACACAGTGTAAAGACGCGCTAAATGTTAGCGTTATACTATAGACGCGTCAATGAAAAATGACTCTTATTTCACTTTAAACGGTAGTTATTTTGGGTATGTGATAAATAGAATATTAAATTCATGTAAGTTCATTACTGAATTTATTGCACTCGTTGAATAAAATAATATTATGCTCGCCAGAGGCTCGCATAATATAATTTTTATTCAACTCGTGCAATAAATTCAGTATTGAACTTAAACTCGTTCAATATCCTCTATTTATCACACACCCGTGCCGATTTTGCGACTCCGTAAATATGGTATTGCACGGCCGTGCATATATTTTGACGTGACGTCATTAGCGTTATAAAAACATAGTATAAAGACGCGCTAAATGTTAGCGTTATACTACAAGTGCGTCAATGAAAAATGACTCTTATTTCACTTTAAACGGTCTTTATTTTGGGTATGAGATAAATAGAATATTAAATTCGTGTAAGTTTAGTACTGAATTTATTGCACTCGTTGAATAAAATAATATTATGCTCGCCAGAGGCTCGCATAATATAATTTTATTCAACTCGTGCAATAAATTCAGTATGAAACTTACACTCATTCAATATCCTCTATTTATCACACACCCGTGCCGATTTTGCGACTCCGTAAATATGGTATTGCACGGCCGTGCATATATTTTGACGTGACGTCATTAGCGTTATTCAAACATAGTGTAAAGACGCGCTAAATGTTAGCGTTATACTATAGAAGCGTCAATGAAAAATGACTCTTATTTTACCTTAAACGGTCTTTATTTTGGGTATGTGATAAATAGAATATTAAATTCGTGTAACTTCATTACTGAATTTATTGCACGAGTTGAATAAATCGATACGAATATTATGCTCGCCAGAGGCTCGCATAATATAATTCTATTCAACTCGTGCAATAAATTCAGTATTGAACTTACACTCATTCAATATCCTCTATATGCTGAAAAGAACATCGTGACGTAACTTTATATTCTCAAAAGGCAGCGTGACGTTACTTTATATCCTAAAAAAGGCATCGTGCCGGAACTATGTAAATTCTGAAAAAGGCATCATGAAGTTACTATACTCAGTATATTCTTAAAAAGGCATCGTGACCTAAAAACGACTTCGTGACGGGTCTATATATATTTATAACATGCTTTTCGGTGGTTTATAGAAATATATCAGTGATATAAAACTGATAATTTCACTGCTTAAAACAGTGAAACTACCAATTTGATAATTTCGCTTTTTTGAATGTATGCCTCTTTGCGTTGTTTCAATGAAATACCAGCGTGCACAGTACTGGAAACCAACCTAATGACGTGACGTCCTAGATGACGTCACGTTGTAGTATTATTTGGCGCGCTTTCATTTAGTATTAGGTTAAATGTCTTTTTAAAACGTTTCATTACATATAATACAAAGGAAATTTGTTTAGTTTAGTGTAAGATCGAAATATATTTCACCTTGTGAACACCAAAAGTTCATATTTCACTCGTGGCTGCGCCACTCGTGAAATATACCTTTTGGTGCTCACTCGGTGAAATATACTCCGATCTTACACTGAACTTAACAAATATCCTCTGTATATTCTAAAAAAATCATCGTGACGTAAATTTATATTCTGAGAGAATATATCGTGGCGTTACCATGTATTCTGTAAAAGGCAGTCTGATGTAATTATACTGTTCATTCGGCATCGTCACGTAACTTAATATTCCGAAAATGGCATTGAGAGATTACTTCTAATTAAGGACAGTTGTTGAATATGTAGACCTTTAATTGAGATTTCAGCTATCCAAATACATTATTTCGGAAAAGTTATTCTATGTAAGAAACAGATATGCACGTACTTTATCTAACTGCATATAAAACATAAACATAAGGTTTATACCTTCGGGTGAAGTATGTCTTCGGCATGCAGTTGAAGAATCGCCATCGATGTCCACGGTCTTTTGGCACCATTTCCACAGACCAATGTTCAATTTCCAGGATTCACCGAAGAAATCGTCTTCTCTAAAAGCCCACCATGGCAGCACTAAGGCAACAATAGCCGCTGGTATTGTTAGAAGTGCTAATAACATTCCTATCTTTAAACATGGCTCACTAGATGGCATAGTGTCCAGATAGGAAACAATAATAACTAAGCAGAATACAAATATTCTATCACGTTATTTGAGTGCAGTTACTTTACACTGAACCGGACAAATTACATGAAATTGTATGTCAAATCTGATTTCACTTCCAACTCTAAAATATTGGAAATTCACATGTTTAACTCTTAATATTATTTATATGAGCTTAGTATATAAATTCGGTTTCTCAAAAATATATATAAAGAACGAAATAAACAGTTTAATCTTTCAATATAACCACAAATTGTATATTCCACAGGTGATCTATTTTCTTTTTTATTCCAAGAGTGAACTGAGAAAAAAACTATGGTTTCCTCAATAATTTTCAAGATGTGAACTTCAGAAATCTATGATTTTTGCTATGTATATTCCAAAGGTGAACATGGGAAAATTAATGGTTTCTTTTATACACCACAAAGGTGAACTAAGTATCAATGTTTTCTTGTACTTTAGATTGTAAATTTGAACTGAGAAAATTTATGTCGTTTTATTCCTCTTTATATTAACAATTTGAAACGAATATTCTGATTATGTATTTCTTTAAAATTCCAAACACAGACTTTGACCTGAATAAATTCTGTGGCTCTATAACGTCATCGATTTATTGCGGTATGCTAGGGTGTATTGTTCTTGCTCGTTATCCGAGAAATTATGACAACTTATTATTGTCAATCGTTAACATCATTTAAAATTTATAAGTTCAACTAGTACAGCAACCAATCAACATTTTGCTTCAGAAGTTAAAGGAACTCCACAGAGATCCAAAAACTCTTCAAGCATAAAGTTTAAATGCCTTACATATATTAGCTAGCTGGAGCATTCAAAAACGGAAATACATTTATTATATATACAAAAGATAACAAAGAAATATTCTCAGAATTAAACTGGAGATAGTATTTTTAGTCGAGTCTTAGCTTGATTTTAGTTAAGGGTGTTTTATGGGCCATTTTTCACAATGAAAATAATTATTCTTGACAAATGGGGTGAGCGAATGATTACAAGTTATTGGCCAAGTCACTTGCCACAAATTGTGAAATCTCGAAAAAATATATCAAGTCCAGCACGTCATGTAAAAGGCAACAACAACAAACACACCCCGGCCCCACACTACCATAAATTATGAGCAAATCGACAAGTGTCTATGACATATATCATTCTGCAGATGCGAAAAAAAATTCAGTTTGCTATACAAAAATTAATATATTGTGAAAAATCTCGGATAATCTTCTATTTCATAACGTTTCATTATTAATCAACAATACTTCATCAAATTGTATATGATATTCCTGAAAACACTGTTTTGGGCTTGTAGAGGATTTTTTTCATGAAAGCTCTTCTTGCACGTATTTGTTTGTTTGTTTGACTGATTGGATTTTAATCATTTTACCTCACGCCGACACAGTATAGATCATATGGCAACGTTCCAGCTTTACTGGTGGAGAAAGACCTCACGTGCCCTTCCGTGCATTATTTCAGGCACGAACGGGCACCTATGTAGAACCACCGACTTTCCGTAAGCTAGCTGGATAGTTTCCTCACATTAAAAAGAATCCAAAGTCCCTGGCACGAGTCGAAACCACAGCGGTGAGGGGCAAGTGATACTTGCACGTATAACTTATTAATTCATGCCTACTTTATAACAATATGCAAACTCTGCTTCGTAACAAATGTTACCAAAATTAAACTTTAATGGTTTAAGTGTCACGTGTCAAAAATGTTGAATTATTTTGGAAAAAAGGACAAATATGCGTGGACATCTTTACATACCCCGATAAAATTATTGTGATAATTATGGAAAATATGTCATATTTTGCATTAACGAGTTAAAATTCCAATAGAATATTTCATATTTTAAATAGTTCAATTTCTTTTGATTCTGGTAAATAATTAAAAGAATTTGTGAAGTGTTAAAAGTCAACCCAGAGATCATGGGTTCGAGCCCTACTCGGGGCACGACCATGTTTCTTCATATGACACCAGTACTGGTTGGTTCCAGGAAGCGGACTTGAAAGTGATTAATATAAGTTGTAAGAACTTGTTTCCCAATCCAGCTTAAATAAATATGTTTAAACCAAAAGTTACAGAATTTCTGCAATCGAATTAGTTTCCGTTCTTTATAATTTATTCTTCATTTCTATAAATACATTTCTGAAATTGGTGCTAACAGAGTATTCAAAAAGTCAATAAACCACATTAACCTTATTTACAGGTTTGGTGGATGGGAGTCAAATACATAAATATTTACCATATAATACGCATAAAATAAAGTATTTACATATACTAACCAAAGAAAATCAAATTAAAAATACGTTTATCTTAATTTCCCAATTTTTTCCAATCAATTAAAATGTACTTGAGATGAATCAAAGTAATTTACGGGTTGCAATGTTTTATATTGAAATGGAACCGTCATTTTTGCGCACTTTCCTGTGCATTATATATACATCTCAAACCATTTTAGCATTAATTATATATCAGTCATTTTCGGACCCCATTCCCGGGGATACGGGGGCAACAGAGGCATGTTTTACTTTTTAACTTTCCGTGCACTACAGAGTCTATACAGAACGCAGATTTTACTATTTTACTGTCCTGAAATAAATTTACGGTTACGAATTAGCACTTGAGTATCAAGTTATCAAGTGCTTCATTCAGCCAGTAATCACAGTATAGTAATGCTTGAACCAACTATCTCTAGTTTGTAAGGCAGACATTTTGTAGAGGGTGCGTTATAGGCAATTATTAAGGGACACGGACATTTGCCTTATGTAGCTTGTATATTTTATATGTATAGTAAATGGGTGATGGAAAGTAATGTTGTTCTTGGTGATCAACGGGAGATTACTCTGATAATGTTACCAGTGTTGGCAGGACAAATACGCCGAATGCCTATGTTTAGGGACATGCTATTGCTCTTCTAAATTGAAAATGGTAAATGAAATAATGAAAAGCATGTGTACACCTGAGAAAATTATGAAAACACCAGAGGAAAAAAAAACAAATAAATGTCAGTTTTCTTTAACTTTCCTTTCCAATATGGAAAGGAAAATTAAAGAAAACTGACATTTATTTGTTTTACTCTTGTCATGTTTCAAGTAACTTCTGAAGTTGATGACTATATATTATATATTGTTTATCTTCTATTTTGCTGACGTTCGAGAAGTGAATTTGACTAAATGGGGCTTTTGTTTGAACTCATCAATATTGTTTTCAGATAGAACTTTTGATGAGTTCAAACAAAAGCCCCATTTAGTCATATTCACCTCTCAAATGTCAGCAAAATAGAAGATAAACAATATATAATATATAGTCATCAACTTCAGAAGTTACTTGGAACATGACAAGAGTTCCATTACAATTCTTTAAAAGACCAAACACCTCGATACAAAATAAAACAAAAATTAAAAAAAAAACTTTATTAACAAAGACAATCTGCATAACAATTACCAGTAATTGATAAATTAATATTTCCAAACTTTACATTACATTATCTTTTAAAAAACATGTCAAATTTGTATCAGTGCAACAATGTGTTGTGTTTTTTCTATTCATAATTGTGACAAACTCTATCTGATACCTGAGAAGAAATATGAAACATCCTTACATCTAGCAGATATACATTACATAAAGTAAATTTCTCAATTAAATAAGACATTCAATGCAACAGTTATTCCCCCTTTAGCTATTAAATTATAAAATGTTGAGATTGTCATAAAATTAACATCACTAAGACTAGTATACAAAATTAAAATAATTTCAACTAGAACTGCCACTATCTTGGCGTGAATACCCCCGCATACCACTTTGTCAGAATCAACAGTGGCCATTTAGAGCTCAAGGACAACCTCCCTGCCAAATCTGAGGTTACTAAGCCAGTGCATTGCTAAGTTATGTATTCTACAAGCTTCAAATGTGAAAATGTCAAAATCAATACATTGCGGACAGGACATTCTTTAACAATTGAGAAGAAAAGCTTTTTTTGTCAAGGTCCCTGTGACCTTGACCTTTGACCCAGTGACCTCAAAGTCAAAAGGGGTCACCTTATAGTCATGATCAACATCCATGCCAAATATGAAAACTGTGGGTCAAAGGAATCTTAAGTAAATGGGTGGACAAACTTTTTGAAGTCAAAGTCCCGATGACCTTGACCTTTGATCCAGTGACCTCAAATCACAAGGGGTCATCTACTTATCATTATCAACATCCATGCCAAATATGAAGACTGTGGGTCAAAGGAATCTAAAGTTATTGGGCAGACAAACTTTTTGAAGTCAAAATCCCTGTGACCTTGACCTTTGACCTGGTGACCTCAAAATCAATAGGGGTCATCTTCTAATCATGACTAACCTCCATGCCAAACATGAAGACTGTGGGTCAAAGGAATCTTAAGTTATAGGGCAGACAAGCTTTTTGAAGTCAAGGCCCCTGTGACCTTGACCTTTGACCTGGTGACCTCAAATTCAATAGGGGTCATCTACTAATCATGACTAACCTCCATGCCAAATATGAAGACTGTGGGTCAAAGGAATCTTAAGTTATTTGGCGGACAAGCTTTTTGAAGTCAAGGCCCCTGTGACCTTTGACCTGGTGACCTCAAAGTCAATAGGGGTCATCTACTAATCATGACTAACCTCAATGCCAAATATGAAGACTATGGGTCAAAGGAATCTTAAGTTATTGGGCGGACAAGCTTTTTGAAGTCAAGGCCCCTGTGACCTTGACCTTTGACCTGATGACCTCAAAATTAATAGGGGTCATCTACTTATCATGACTAACCTCAATGCCAAATATGAAGACAATGGGTCAAAGGAATCTTAAGTTATTGGGGGGACAAGCTTTTTGAAGTCAAGGCCCTTGTGACCTTGACCTTTGACCTGATGACCTCAAAATCAATAGGGGTCATCTACTAATCATGATTAACCTCCATGCCAAATATGAAGACTATGGGTCATAGGAATCTTAAGTTATTGGGCGGACAAGCTTTTTGAAGTCAAAGCCCCTGTGACCTTGACCTTTGACCTCAAAATCAATAGGGGTCATCTACTAATCATGACTAACCTCCATGCCAAATATGAAGACTGTAGGTCAAAGGAATCTAAGTTATTGGGCGGACAAGCTTTTTGAAGTCAAGGCCCCTGTGACCTTGACCTTTAACCTGGTGACCTCAAAATCAATAGGGGTCATCTACTAATCATGACTAACCTCCATGCCAAATAAGAAGACTGTAGGTCAAAGGAATCTTAAGTTATTGGGCGGACAAGCTTTTTGAAGTCAAGGCCCCTGTGACCTTGACCTTTGACCTAGTGACCTCAAATTCAATAGGGGTCATCTACTAATCATGACTAACCTCCATGCCAAATATGAAGACTAAGGGTCAAAGATATCTTAAGTTATTGGGCGGACAAGAAAAAACCGACGGACGGCCGGACAGCCGGACAGCTGGACTGCCGGACGGACAAGCTGATTCCAGTATACCCCCCTTACAACTTTGTTGTGCGGGGGTATAATTAACGCAAGAAAATTGACACTGACTAAACACTATAAATCTCGAAAGTCTGCATAATTTCGAAAAGTATACATAGCAACCCTTAAAGCTGCATGCCTCCAGATGAGCCAAAATATTTCAAGAAATTCAATCTTTAAAAAAAAAATGTATTAAGATCTCAAGAAAAATAAAAGAATCAATATATAATTAATTATTTACAAGTTATGTGCGATAAATGACCGATTTTGCAGCATAAATCACTATAATTCTACTGCGTTACTAACACAGTTAGAGGTATTAATGTATATTTTGACCTCTTTTTGGTTATTTACGTGGACTGTAAGTGCCGTTTGCAATGTATAATTTACTTTCTTTGTTCACTTCACAATATTTTACTTTAAAATACATTTTCAAAATGTTCATGAAAATTAGCATAAATCTGGAGGCGTGCTGCTTTAACCTGCTGGAACAAAATAGATTAGTCTTTCCAACCAGCATAGACCTGAGCTGTCTGACCAAGCAAATGTACAGTTTCCATTGGTGACTCGATTTTTGTATTTTCATAATAAAGTAACTTTGAATGGATCCAAATTCAAAGATAGGCAATTCAATTACAAACATTCAGGGAAAATTACACCAATTCAGCAAATTAAGGTTAAATTTTCACTGTGCAATATTAATAATCCATTACACATATTTTTTTGGTAAATTTGTTAAAAATGCATTATGATTAAGTATATGATCACAGTTGCTTTGGCACCTTTTCCTTCCATTCCTTGAAATAGTGAGTAATATAAATGACTTTACGCAAAACTTATCCATGAGTGAAAGACATTTTTTTTTAAACCTGTATGTTGCCACATTTTTTACAGTATTATGAAGAGAAAATGTGGTTTTTTTTTAGTCTTAAAATCCTGAATATTCAAGAATCATCCCGAAAAAATTTCACCAATGTTTTTACATGAGATTTTTCATTAATTCCTATCCTTATCTTTCTTATCTTCTAATTCTTTCATTCCTTTCTCCAACTCCTCTTTAAATCTGTCAGAAAACCGTTTTCCTCTTGATGTGTCTTCAATTGAATTAGGGTCTCTCTTTAATTTTTCAATACCTGAAAGAAAGCAAACAATCTAACTTTTTTATATAATGTAAATCCTTTTGGTTGTGTTAAACTTTACACCAACACTGTAAAGGTCATATGGTGACTTTCTAGCTTCAATGGTGAAGACAGACCCCTCATGCACTATTTTCCAGGAAAAAAATCTGACAAGAAAAATTTTCTAAATTAATTAAGTAGCCTCACTGGACATTGAAAATTAAGCAGTTAATCACCTTAATTTCCAGAAATGAAATGGGTGAATTTAAATTGAAACAGTTAATTAATTCTCAATTCAGGGAATAACCCCTGTAACAGACCTGTCCTTTTGTCAATTTCTAAGCAGTCCATTGACAAATCAAACTCAAAACAAGACAATTTAGCCTTACCACATTAAATATCTAAAATGGACTTGTACATATTTCAATCTGGACAAATCCATTTATCCTCTTTAGGAAAATTTCAAAATATGTCCTGACTGAATAGTGTACAGTGCAGAACAAGATCAGATGGCATGGATGTACCAAAGGAACATTCTTGTGAAGTTTGGATGAAATTAGCTTAGCCATTTATGAGGAGATATTGTTTAAAGTAAAAGTTTACGGACGGCCAGACGCCGGACGAAAAAGCAATCACAAAAGCTCACCATGTCAGAAGAGCTAAAAATTGAGGAAAGCAATAGTCAAACATGATATAGAGAATAATAGGTTGGTGCCGTGGATGGAGAAAGTTTATCTGGCGAGGCAGAGGAATTTATTGGGTGAGCCGAAGTCTTTCCTGTCACCGTTTTTTTTAAAGAATTTTATTAGGCAAACTACCTTTAATCACACTATCGGAAATGTTTCTATATAAACAAAGATGGCCCGAAGCGTGCATTATTCTACAACAATGCACTCGCCGTTCTTATTATCTCCCTGTGTATTTTCACATTGAGGGCGCCATTTTGTTTGAAAAATGTGATAAATAAAAACAATTTTTTGTCGAATTTTGTTGTGAAAACTATCTAGAATGAAAGAAAATGGTCTAACTAAGAAAATGAATTCGAACACCAATATCTTTTATTCAGTCGTTAAGGCTGTACAGACCTTTAAAGTATTGTTTACGTGACGTCACAATGTAGCGCCAAACAGCACATGCAAAACAATCAAATCAAGTACAATGTATGCTATTTTAATGTCGCAAACGAGTTAAGTTTTACATTTATTTCAATTTTAATAATTTTTATTACGCTTGAAAAATTATAGAGTGCAATAAAATAAACAAACAAAGTTTTATCAACGTTTCCAAAATATGTTATTCTACACACAGAAGATCTATTGGAAACTCTGAGGCGAAAACAAATTTAACCACCAAATATAATAATAATAAATTTTCTTGAAAAGTAGTCCGGCAAACCATGCATACCACATGATCAAGTGCCATAGATCAGTAAAAATATACGGCACCTTGTTATCGGGCCAAAATTGATACAAGTGACAGGATAAATACAAATATGCATTACCTGTTTCTTTAGCCCTTAAGAACCAGTATACTGTCATTCTAGCTGCATAACGTATTGGTCCAGTTTCTGATAGCTACAATAAAATGATAAACAATTTATTAGATATGAGTAAAGAATCTTCAAATCATGTCTATTGCAAAATATTTTAAAATATAAAGTGCATCATATTTTAAAATATGACAAACCAGGACAGTAAGAAAAATTAAAACATATTTGATAGACTTATGAACATTTCAGTGTAATTTTGTATGTACACTTTTTCCTTCAACGCTGATTTGCAATAATGACTTAACATCTTAGTAAACTACTCATACATAAAAGCACCAGGAGGCTGTCTGCCATCTCAACCCAGATATCAAAGGTCTGAGCTATACTGGGGACAGATAAGCACATTCAAGAGTGACCAAGCCGGAGAAGTTGAAATAAGTTCCAAGCTGTCATTAAAGTCATGAAGTAATTAATGTGTTTAAACTTAAATACACTTGCCACTTAAAAAGATATTATTTTGATTAATAATTAAACAAATGACATTGAGGATATTTGGTCAGAGTAGACTACGTACATGTAGTTCTGACACCAAATGAACACAAGGATTATTTTATATTAGTTCATCAAACATTTAGTAATATTTTTAGTAATATTTCAAATAAGTGTGTGAAGTTTTAACCAGCTTGCATGCAAAAACTTAACCAAAGTTTGACTGCGACTCTAACACTTGAATGTCTACAAGACAGCTCTCCCTTTCCTTCTAATAGGTCAGGCTAATAAATAACTGATCATGAAAAAACCTTACCTTCTGGATAAGTTGCTCATTATGGGTAAAGAACCTGAAACATAGAAATGCATAAAAATTAATTTCAGAAAATAAGATACACTACAGTTTGCTATGTAAATAAACTAAACAAAGCCGTGAAAAGGGCTGTTTGTGCCTTTCAAGCTGTGTTTCAAGGGTTGCTAATAGCTCAAGCACCCTTCCTCGTTGTCTCTGGAATATTTCAGGTCCACTCACTTCAGCTTCAGTTAAGACATTGGCGGCTAAAACTAAGCTGCGTCACCTTAAATGTAAGGAAGGGGCTAGTGGTACGGGCACGTATGGCTAGCCAAAAGTTCTTCATCAGTCACATACCGCTAGCCATTGGCACTTTTCAAAATTATATGAAAGATGAAAATGCACATGTTATTTTGTGTCTTTAAACAGCTAGCCACTTCCTAAAATTATGTTTCCCTGAGCAAACATGCCATCTTACATGTTGCAGTGGATCTTCAATCATCTTACGATTCCCTGTGCCTTCTCTAAAATTTGCAAATACCAAGGGGAAAGAGAAGCTGAGAGCATCCCCCTTCCCATTTTTTCTTTGAGTTCATGTTTTTAGCATGTGTTTAGTAAAACTAAAAGTTCACACATAGATCTAATAGAGAAGCGTCTGCTACTCTCATACATTTCAGGTGTTCAAGGATCGGTCTATTCAATATGGGGCTCCTGTGATTAGACACTAATATATTATGGTATTTTCTGTATTACCTGATAAGGTATCTCCAGGGCATTTTACAAGACCAGCAGTTGAGTTTAATCCATTACATCATAGTTTGATAGAATTGTTGTTGTTATTGTTGCCCTACACGTGATGCACATGTACAAACATAATCTAAGTTGTGAAAAGAAATATTTTCTATAAAATGAGATTCTGAAATAAAGTTATTTACACAATAGTGCCATAATTTTTTTTTTTAATTTTTTTTATACATTATTTCTTTTTTTACTTGATAAAAAGTAGAGAACATTACGCACTATGGATTTTGGTCATGTGATCTCGCCATTTTGAATCATAAATCAGGAAGTACCGGTTTGTAACACATTTTGTTTATATTCTGCTTAATTTGAATTCATTTTAGGTTAATGAATGTCTATATAATTATCCATAAATACACTTGTTGCATTTAGAAGAAGAAAAAAATATTTGCAAATTTGTGATAGATCTGTAAATGATTTAGAAACTTTTTGGCCGAGCTGACCCACTGACACTGTCATTCATGACTCACTTGACTGTTTATATTAAGACCTCTCTCATTCTCAAGCAAAGTCTGTAAATTGATAATTTGATAAACATAACTTCCTCAGTGTAGCTGAAGCAAGCATTGAACATGTCTCACTCTAGTTGTCCAACCCCGTGATTTTTTTACACTTAAAATTACCTGTTTAGTCTTTAGACACAATTCGTCTGCTTAAAATATCTTGCAACGTTTGACCTGCAAATATGTCTATGTCATGGAGAAGGGTTACTAGGATATATATCTCCATATCAATTTGGATAGAACAGGAATATTTTATTGATTATTGGATAATTACATAATAAAATTTATACAATTTATACCACATATTATTAGAAAAGTGAAATCCAAAGAGAAACTAGGAAAGCATACTGGCAATACCTAGACTCTGTCATTTTTAGCCAAGACTCCCAAAATGTGAAAAATAAAAAATTCTACCAATATGTTAAAAGTAATAAAACTGAAAGCTGTGGTGTGGCACCCCTCAAATCAGAAGGTCAAACATTTACTGATCCAGTTGCAAAAGCAGATATCCTTAACTCCCAGTTTGAGTCTGTCTTCTCTCGGCCTCAGCCCCTTAGCTTATCCCAGGCTTGCAAACAGAAGCTTATTCCAAAACACCACCCATCTATGCCAGAAGTATCTATATCGGAAGATGGTGTGAAGAAACTTTTAAAAGACCTAAACCCAAATAAAGCTTCTGGTCCTGACCAAATTTCCCCTAGGTTATTAAAAGAGCTCCATCAAGAGGTTACTCCCATACTGACCCACATCTTCCAGATCTCACTTAAAACAGGTATTGTCCCAGAAGACTGGAAGCATGCAATAATTGCCCCAGTTTACAAAAAAGGCCCAAAATGCAAACCCAGCAATTATAGACCAATCTCCCTCACATGCATAGCGTCCAAATTGATGGAGCACATCTTAGTGTCCAATATTATGTCCTTTTATGATAAACACAACATCCTTAGCCCCTATCAACATGGCTTCAGGTCAAAACGGAGTTGTGAGTCCCAGCTAGTAAGCTTCTCCCAGGAAATTCATGACAATCTTGAAAGTGGCCAACAAACTGATGTCATAGTCATGGATTTCAGTAAGGCATTTGATAAGGTGGACCATCACAAACTTGTGAGTAAACTAGAAAGATTGGGTATAAGTTATGAGGTTACAAATTGGGTCCATTCCTTCCTTAAGTCACGCTCCCAACAAGTTGTAGTTGAAGGTCAAAAATCAGGAATACTACCAGTTCTCTCAGGTGTCCCCCAAGGCTCGGTTTTAGGTCCCTGCCTTTTCCTTTCTTACATAAATGACCTCCCAGATAGTGTCAAAGGTAAGGTTAGACTCTTTGCAGATGATACTGTTGTCTACCTAACCATCAGATCTAAACATGATGCCCAAACCCTCCAAGATGACCTTCATGCTTTAGAAAAATGGGAAAAAGACTGGTCCATGGAGTTCAACCCTGACAAATGTGGAGTTCTCAGGATAACAAGAAAAAGAAACCCTGTAATTTTTCCTTATACCCTCCATAACATCCAACTAAACTCAACTCAAGAAGCGAAATACTTAGGAGTCACTATTAGTCAAGACCTTTCATGGACCAAACATATAAACAGCATCACATCTAAAGCAAATAACTCCCTCAGATTCATCAGAAGAAATGTTAAAACTCCAAATAAAAAGATAAAAGAAACTGCATATAAGACCTATGTTAGACCTCAGTGCAAGCATGCATAGCTTAATCGGTCAGAAAGTGAGACTTGTAATCTCGACATTGTGGGTACAATTCATGGGCTGGCAAACTAAATTACTAATCACTCTTTTGGACAAGACTTGAAATCGAGGTCCCATATATGAGTGCTTAAATACAATGTATTCGGCACGCTAAAGAACCGGGAGAAGCTTCTTGAATTTCTGTATCTTGCACTATCCTCCAAAAATCTAAAATGATTAAATCTCTAATACTTTTGTTTTCTGGAGTATATGGGCAAGTCTGGTGGCAAATATACATGTAGATAAACTCAAATACAGAAAAAAATGCTTATAAAGTTATATTAAAGTTATAATGACAAAAAGTCAAAACATACAATTGTCTGCCTATTTTAAAAGTTTCTATACTGTTTTTCATGTCCTGTAAAAAGCATAAGGTATAAAAAAATAGAGTAAAGATATGACATAGATTATAATATTTCTTCATGAATGTTATATTAAAGTTGATTTGTCTACAAGATTATAATATTTCTTCATGAATGTTATATTAAAGTTGATTTGTCTACGATTGGCACATTTCGAATGTTGATCAAAACAATAGGAATTTTTCATTTGGATATTCATATTAAAGATATCATTTGAAAAAGAAAATGTTGATAAATTTCTGAGTGATTAAGTATGAAAATTTGTATGAAAAATTATAACATTTTATTCTAGAACAAATTATTATCTGCTTAGTGCTATATTAATATTATGTTATGCTCACACTTGCCAACAACATCCATACATAATTCATTTGTGGTTTGTTGTTATGTCTGATACTTAATACTATCAACGCAATTATTTATTGAATTATAGACCTTTAATTATAGACCAATTATATAATATTAAATTTTGATTAAACTGAAGGAAGATTTGTATTTTTTGTAAAATGAAAAAAAATGAACTTGAAGATTTTCTAAAAATAAAAAATTGAAAAAAAAGTGATTGTCAAACTATTCTAACTTGAGTTAGAATAGTTTTGCACTGAATATATTATATCAGCAGATAGAATATTTTCTTAAAATGTGTAAAACTTTAAAATTAGTGGGAAATTAATTATGTCTTTTTAACAGAACATGCATTGAAGGAATTTATACAAGAAAATGTCAAAAAACCATTTTCTGAAAAATATTGAGTTAGAATAGTCTTGCGCTGAGCCCTCAAGTTAATATACATTTTTGTAGGCAAAAAATTCATTGGCTTTCTTTAATGATGACATCAAATCATAACATTTCAGTGTTGGACGAAATTCTCATCAAGTTTATTATTTATAATATATTCTTGTTTTTATCCTAATTAATATAATATAGTTTGGCTCCTGTTTCATTGCGAAATTGCCTAAGTATAATTACTCATTTTTAGTGTAAAGCTTGATGATATATTATACAGTGTAACTTCTGAAAACGGAACACTTGTGGGACTAGCCAAAAAGTTTGGAAGTTACACTGTATTATGAATTCCTGTTTATATAGAACCTTCACTCAGTTCTTCTTTCTGTATGTACCTCGTAATTAAAGTCTGTACCAGGTTTACTGTAACTGTAAAAGTTTGTTTCTTTGAACCCCCAGATTAGCTGGGAAAACCCAAAATATTCTTAACTCCAGAGTAAATCTATTCGAAACAGGTTTAAGGGCATACCCTTTGGACCATGCTTGTGAACTTAGGGAACAGATTGTTGAAATAATTTTTTGCCCCATTTATGTTTATAGTATCTTTATCATGGCACGATATGCTTTTTGTTGTCACGTTTTTACTTATTTAATCGTAACTCTGCTAGATTACTATAAAAATATTTTATATAATTATCTTTAAATTGAATATTAGCAAAAAATTTATTCCCTTAGCTTTGTCTTCAAATGCACACAAAAAAAGAGAAAGAGCAGCAAATGTCATCATTGGGTCAAGTTTTAACTGTATTTATTATTCTACTAGTTTCGGTTGAAACAACAACTTCATCAGGAATATGAAATCAGAAT